AGACAGTTGATCAGCAGCGAGCGGTCGAGGGACAGGCACTTGCAGATCACGAGGAGTGACTTTTTTGCGCCTAGGAGACTCATTCAGCACTTTAAAACTGCTGAATTGAGATTCCATGGCTAGAAGCCGATCGTACTGCTTTTTAAAGCCCACGGTCAGCTCCTTAAAGCCCTTTCGCGTCTGCCTCATAAACGTGACCATGTCATTCTCGATAGACCGACATGCCTCGCAACTGTAATGCAGACCATTACGCTTCGAAATTGCGTCACCCACGAGGCCTGAGAACCCAATACATTTTGCGTGCACTACGTTATCGCAGAGCCAGCAAGGGATGATCGGCTGGTCGTGGGTGATCTGCTTTTTGCAAGCCTTAGCGGAGCACACAACCAAGTATTCCATTATTTTATTATTTATTTTGAATATATAAATAAATAAAATAAATAAAATAAATAAAAATTATTTTCACAAAACAAATAGCAATGGGACCAGTGTGCCGACCAATTGCTTAAAGAAAAGTTTAAAGCGGGATCGAAAACAGATGAGCGCAGAGAGGAGAGAAGAACAAGCGCAGCGGCAGCTAAAACAGTGAGCGCACGCCACTGCACAGAAAGTATTGAGAGCGAGAGAGGGAGAACAGTTACTCGAGCTATAGAGTGAAAGACAGAAGCGCAACTACAAGAGAGAGCGGTTAATAGTGAGGGTGTACTTACAACAAGAAAAAGCACAAACACACAACTAACCGACGCACAAATTAATACGATTTTAATTTTAAACAAAGTAATAGGCATGCACTCGCGTATTAAGATAGTTAAGAAAAGCGGCAAGCTATTAAATAATTATAGAAGAATTATTTCGAAATAAAACCCGGTGTTTATTCAAAATATAAAGGAAAATACGGAGCGCAAAACAAAAACACGTCTGGTCACTACAAAAGAGAACGAACGTTGATATAAAAAGACATGATTATAAATGGCACCTAAGTGCCCTAGCTATCGGCTGCTCCTGCTGAAGTTCGCTGCTGCTGTCTTAGAAGAACCGCCGCACCCTGTCGCCGATCAAGGATTTCTGCGTCAGCATTAGGTGTGTGGGAACTTGAGTATGGGAACTCAGCCGCTGACCGCTGAAACTACGTCGTCAGTTTTTTTTCGGCCAACCGTCGGCTGTCAGTTGTTAACTGACATATTATATATACAGATACAAACGAGTATAATATTAATTTTAATATTAATCTGGTATAAATTACACAAGAAACACATATGGTTAATGATGATCTTGGTGTTAAATTAGAGACCGTAAGTGAAAAGTTTTCTTGATTTTATTTGAATTAAACGATTATACATTTTTCTTAATACCATTTAAACTTGTTGTGTTTAATTAATCTCAAAATAAATAGTGGATGGAGATTTTTTGAGCTCTACATCTCTCTTCGAATGAACATATGCGAAAAATATTTCGATACTCAACATTAGGATAGAAATAGTAGCTCCACCTACAATAAATACGTTTAAGCTAAACTAATTATACCAGCTTAATTTCTACTTACAAATCAAAACTATGAAAGCTGCTAAGGCTCCTGATAAGGTTACTGGATAGACAGTGTATAATGCTTCACAGGTAGGCTTCTTAATTTGTCGTCGCCGAAGGATTCGTTCCACGAAGCCTCTTTCCCGAGCGGAACACATGCTAAAAATGGAAATTTAAAAAATCAAAAATGTAAATAATGTAAAAGTACTTACGAAACTCGAAAAAGCTCCGTATACTGGCTGTTTTTGTGTAAAATCCAATTCATTAGTTCAGATTCCAGTAGGCCAGATACCTCTCGCAGATCACATATTTCACTGGCATCAAACATTTCAGCAATCAAAGGATATGCGTCCACTACCTCACAGTGAAATGCAAAACCACCGGATTTGATATATGGCAGAGCTTCTTCGATATGAGCAAAAACTGATAGATCACCCGAAGATCTTGATGATGACAATTTCCTTTTTATTAGTCTGGTTAAGGCTGGGCTTTTACTTTCCTTTACAAATACATAAGGAAAATGTTATATAAATATAAAATAACATTAATGACAGCTTGTTTAATGAAAGGCAATAAGTTAACTTACTCGAAATAACACTTTATAGTAGCCAATATCTTCAAAAGATATTGTAAGTGCACTAGATGTTATAGCATCAACAGTGGCTGGACCTTTATGGGAATGGCTTAACAATCCACCAACCACAGAAGAAGTATAATAGTTATACATTACAAGAGAAAATAAAAATATTGTTATTACGACAAAACGCGATGGGTAATCTTTAGGAATAGGATCCAAGCCCTGTTGGCACAAAGCTGCAAACGTTTGCAGGACCCGTTCAGCCCAACTATTTTCCAATTTCAATGCAATATTTTTCTTATCAGATGGGGTGCTCAATTTAGTGTTAATTATTTCGAATAGCACCCACATTATGCTAAAAATTGTTAGCGAAACGATAATCAAAATCCAAACCGCCTTGCTAAACGGAGCCAAGAAATTGCCACTTTTTCCATGACTATCTAAGTCTGGAGTAAATCTATAAAGAAATGCAGTTTCAAATTTCCAGCTCTGATGTATTATATCGAACTCCGCAAACCGGTTAAGTCGATTAAACGCTCCAGATGCTGCAATGTCTGCCTCGTTTCGTTCAACGATTCCTAAAAGACCAAGGCGAAATGTGGTGTTACCTAGTCTTCCAGCCCATCCTCTTGCATTACGAAAATTAACAGTGAAATTAAAACGATCCCGTAACAGCCCTAAAAGCTCGTAGTGATATTTTATAAAGGCGGCTACTCCGGAATCTTTTGTAGGTCGCGAAAGTATAGCTTCGATTTGTTCATTTGTAGTTACTTCCTCTTTGTCGATCTACGATAAAAAAAGAGTAAACACAGTCGATTAACTTCCAAACTCATACAAACTACCATCATACTTCAGTAGTTACTTATTGGACATCTCAACCTTTTTTTGATTATCAGAAGCGTAAACTACTTTTCTGATAATCTTTGGACTGAACAAAATGTTCAATGAACTATGCAGCCATGCTCCAGTTACAGACATGATTTACCCATAGACTAACTTAACTCAATAATTCGATTCAACTTCACATTGAACAAAGTTGTTTGCGACTTTTCAACATGCTGTCACCAGAAACTTTGGAGTACCTAGAAAACGAAATCTAAACGTAGAAGCGTTTGGATTCTGGTAAGGAATAGTAATTTCATTTTGTTTTGCTTCTTTAAAGGTTTTTTTTTGCATGGAGAGGAGTGCATTTGATATTCTGGTTTCCCCGCTAAGTACCACATATCCGAAAGTAGAACAATTGATTTCGGCTGACAATCCCTCTGTGGAAGAAAATAGCAGTAACCACTTATTGCTATATTTCTGGCTACATTTTATAAATAGTGTTTCACGAATAATATTAAACGAGAAGGGACGTGTGAGACGCTTCTTACGAGTTCCAACTTTTATACCCGGCACTCAGTACTACTTCTGCACCTTAGCGGTGTTTTGTCAAATTTAACATTTTTTCTTCATCTGTCATCTACATCTACAACACTTCTCACACCAACACGCTCCTTTTGCTCACCCCCCTTTCCTAGACCCACACACTGCAGACTCGCGGCAGAGGCAGAGGCAGCGCCCGCACACAAAAAAAAAACAAATATAAGTTGCGGGACGGGGTGGGTTAAAAGTAGGCAGAGGCAGGGGGAGAGGGACGTCAATCGGATCCCAATTACCAGATCTGATAGATATGGCTATTCCCTACGGAATGACGTTTTTAGTTTTCTTTTATCTTCAAAATTGTAGGTTTGGGAGGTTTTCGCCCTTTTGCGGGGCGGAAGGGGGCGGGGCTAATTTTTTAAATACACTGGTTTCAGTGTGAGCATACAGCAGTCTGGAGCCAAAATTTGGTGGGTCTAGCTCTTATAGTCTCTGAGAACTAGCCGACAAACAAGACGGACAGACGGACAGACAGACATGGCTCAATCGACTCGGCGATTGATGCTGATCAAGAATATATATACTTTATGGGGTCGGAAACGTTTCCGTGTGTGCGTTACATACAACCGTTATTCACACAAATACAATATACCCTATGTACTCTTCGAGTACCGGGTATAATAAAAAGCTAAATTATGTATGAAAATATTTATGTATAGATTTCCATTTATGTATAAACATGGGAATTTTTCCTTATGCCATAGTTGCTCTAAAAGTTCCTCCAAAGGGTCTATTGTGTTCCATTTTCCTTTTCGTTCCTATTTTATTAAGTTCGTTCTAACAATTTGATCGAGATCCCTGATCCCTTTCGCTCAATATATTTAATCAATGGTGGTGGTTACTTTTTTGCTATAGCTCGACAAAAATCATAAGCTCACATGTGCATATGCATACTGACTACTTGTAAAAGTAGTGACGTTGCTTTAACAGCGTCTAAAAAAGTTCCTCCTCTTTAATAAAGATGTTGGGGGGTATTTCGCTAATTCTGAGCATTTATATTTTTTAAATATATATTAATAATAATATAATATATTTATAATATATATTATAATATTAAAGTACACTCAAAGGTATTGCTTGTGTCTTACAGTGTAGGCTACGCTACACTTTACGAGTGCAGTGCAGTGTTTTTTGTTTGAATATGTACATATACTTACAACGCTCACCCCTCGTAGTGTCAGCCCATTAAATTGACCTCGGTATATTGTGCTTTGTAGCTTAAAGATATCTTCAACTATATTCAGGTAAAAATGTCCATCATAATTAGTTAATGTTGCTATTAATTGTAGTTCTAAGGCCGATTGAAGGTGACGTCCTTTGGAATGAATATCCCACAAATAGTATTTGTTACTTGTTTTGTTAACGTAGGTTATTTGAGCGTTTGGACCAACATATTCCAGTTCCAGTGGTAGTAAATTCTCAACTTTCACTCCAACACCCCATAATAACCACTGATAGGTTTTGTTAAAGTATTTATTTACAGAAGCATCAGCCAGAATACCAATTGCACCATTGCATCTGGTATTTACTACAACTGAAGTTCGACCATGGCTATTTCGAGCCAGTAAAAAATCTAGATAGTATCTTTGGCTCATATGTACATACTTCACAAACTGGTCATTTTTCATTAGCGCAGAAGTAACAACCCGCAAATCTGTGTCAGTTTGAAAATAAATAATTAATTTTGTAGGAAAACTTCGTTTAAGATTCAAGAAATGTTAGTATTTTACAATTTTAAAACAATTTTAACTGATGTATGTAGATGGTCCGTAACAAATTTAAGCACATATATTATTATAGAGTTCCAGATAAAAACAGTAACGTAGCTTTAGAATTGTCTCACATTGGTCTTCCTCGTTAATGTTATTTTTTTCAAAGGTATGCCAAATAACTTTACCTATTCACTAAAGTTGTATATTTTTTACCTTTGTCTGAACAAGAAAAAATAATTACTTCATTGGTCCTAACCAATTTCACAATAAAGCGTGTTAAAACTGATATCTCCATATGCGCCGATGCTCCACTTGCAGCGATCAGTACAACCAAAACAATGGAGGCCCTCATTGTTTATTACTAGTAGCTAGTAAACATCCATTGCCTTTTTATAGGGTTTAATGCCAATTGATTGACAGCATAAGTGCAGGTGAAAATTAAAAATAATACAATAATGGTTTCAGTTAAACAATGATAACACTATTGTACAAATTTTAAATTATTTTTTAAAAAGTTTTAGGAATGCCGACTTGATAAAGTTGATAGTTAATTATATTTAATCAAATACTTATAACTAAATTTTTTTATACACATTTTATACAAAGAAAAAAATTTTATACCACACTGTACAACAATATTTTTATATCCGGTACTTGAAGAGTTAGGCGTAGTCCTTAAAGACTATAAGCGTTAGACTAACCAAATGTTGTGAGAAGACCCACGAGTTATCATACTGAAGACAGAAAAAGCACTTTCGTAGAGAATTTCCATAGAATGTCCATCATTATTATAGCCAGAATGAAGAAATTAATTTGCAGTGACTACCCATATCCCATCCAGCAGCTATTATTTTTCTTGCAAAAGTAAATTTATTATATATTGCAATCCACATGTATTTTCGTATATAATGTTAACCTGCTTATGGAAAAATTACATATAAACTACAAATCTATAATTATCTACATATTCGACAATATTACACCTAAACCAGTTAACATTTAAAATAGTCCATGGTTTAAGGCATGGTATACACTTATAAAATTCCAGAAAGTGCTGTATCGTGTTCAGTCAGATCTTCACTTTGACGTTTAAACCTGGCTTGATTCACCGGAGCACCTAAAAAAAATATTCATATTTCAATTTAAAATCCCACTAATTTTTTTTGTAAGAAAAAATTGTTTTAGTGTATTGAGAAAAAATCGTGTCGGGTAGTGTAATTTGCACTTAATATACTTTAATATTGATTAAGGAAATAACTTACCGATATAACTCAATAAAACAGGCAAGAAGATAAGCCCATGAGCTGCTCCAATTACAACAATTCCAAAGTACATTCGAAAGTAGAAAACTTGAAAGATTTGACTTTTAGCAAACGCTAGCACTAAAATGCCTGCGAATTTGGTAAGCGTAATACCAGAAAAAATGGAACTACCCATTTTCGTCAAACTATCCGAAGCTCGATTTATTTGAGTTATCTCTTTGGAAAGGGAAAAGCTGTGCACTAAGTGCGAACAAAATTCGACCGATATTCCAACCGCCATTACCAGATTAACTAATGAAACAGCGTTCAGGGATATTTTCCAATAGTACATTAAGCCTCCTAAATCAATAACAATCATGGTTATTGTAATAATAACCACTAAAGCGGAATGTATGTCGAAGCCCATTAAAATGAATGTTACTATAAATATAGAAAGAACAGAAATACCCATGCTCTTTAATGTGTCAGCCCACATGGTTAAATATTGTTCATAAAAAACATAAAATACTGAGTATGGAAAAACTTCGACATTAAGAGCTGATTCAATGGGTACACCAAAAGATATTAATCTGCCTTGCAACATTTGTGTTATATTTTTGGATATCTTTCTAGCTGACTGTAAGGATAAAAAGTAGTCTTCTGAGCTTTTAAGAATGGTATGGTAAGTCATAAAATAGGAGGCATCGACTTGTAGCCTTTTATGATCATTGGAATATCTAATAGCTCCACTATATGCAGCATGACCAGCTTTGGCACACGAATCGTCTGGATTATCCTTTAAAAAAAATGGCAAATACTCTCCAAAGTCATGTTCGTCTGGCCGTTGAAGAGAATTTTTGCTAATTTTGCAAGATGAACACGAAGTATCTAAAATAATAGATATTAAAATGTATAAAAAACAATTTAACAACAATCTAACTTTTATAACTTACCTTGATGAGGACAGAAATCTCCATTTTGTGGATTATATTTGCAGCAAGAAGATGCTAAAGCCCAATCAAAATAGTCATCAATCCAACTAGACGCAGGTCGTGCAATATAGGTTGTGTTTGACTGTCTGCTCGCTAAATAGATTTGAGTTAACACGCTATCGTCATTGCAAAATCGACCTGAACAAACTGAATTTTGAACCAAACTGTTTGAATACGTTAAATTGCCTTTAAGCACAAAAAAGACTGGGGGACCAATGTTAAGATGCTTATTCAATGATTTAAAATAATGTAGAACAAAGCTATCTTCAGGCATGGCCAGTTCCTGATCTAGCCCAATATCAATCCGAGGTGAAATGGCAACACTGAGACATAGCCATGCAAAAAATATAATCATTACAAGAACTCTAACAACCTTTTTCATTAGAAATGGAACATAGACACTTTTAAAAAATTTATACAGAAGTCCTTCGCTGTTGTTAATAATATCTGATTTTTTTCCTTTGATAAAACAGCATATGTCCAGACGATTTTCTTCTTTTCGCTTAGTATCCAAAGTAAATAGACTCACAAAGCAAGTAATTTGCAATATAAAATCAATTATTAATGCGACACCAGCATATAAAGCAAATGCCTTTACAGCAGGCATATCAGATAGACTACCAAGAAAAAAACAAAAGCTTTCACTTAGAGAAGTTAGAAGCATACTTGGTCCAACACGACCCAATATTCGTCCTATTTGCTGTTCATGCAGCTCATTGGGTTTTCGATGGTCTCTCTGATGAGTTTGCACAAGAATAAATATGTTGTCGACTCCGACAGCTAATACTAAAAATGGTATCACTTCTACAATAATTAGGGTAGCTGGAATGCCTGCATATCCAAATATGCCAACAGAAGAAACTACAGAAGCTAACACAATAATAACACCACCTAAACCAAGTGTAATTTTACTATCAATAAAAGCTCTATTGAACGCCTTAACATGGCCCAGCGATATTGCAATATACATAAACATAATTAGGTATGAAACTAAAATTGTTAGAATATCCGATCGAGATTCTCTATTTAACTCGTCTTCTATTGACCTCTCTGATGTAAAAGCTATGTCCATGAAGTCACTCATGTTGTTTTTCGTATAGTTACTCATAAACTCAACAAAGAAAGTCTCCCACCGCAGAGCGCTTAACAAATCTGTTGTTTTCTGATGATTTCTGACTAAAAACGTCAAAATTAAAGCATTTGCTAACTCGTATTTTGTGTTTCCGGAAAGTTGTTCTCCAGGCCTTAAAAATCCACCTAAAGCAACAGCAGGATCTACAGGCCCACCATAAGGAGCTAAGCATAAATATGGATTACTTGTGCATTGATAAATTGCATCCAAATAAGTTACCTGTAAGTAAACGAAAAAATAAATTAATAAAATTGTTAATAAAAACTAATTGAAAATAGTTTTTTTGTTTAAAAATAAACATTCGAATACATTCAGTTTTCATTGAAGAACGCTAGTGCGCTGCCTGATTTGTCGTGGTATTGGTGTTTTTTTGACACAACATGTATCCCGTATAAAAGAACTGGTTACCTGGTTTATATATTCCTTCAGTATGTACTTACGTTGAACCCATTATCTTCCTCGTTGTCGTCTAATCGACTTAAATCATCTTGAAAATATCCCCATATTGATTGAACAATGCAATTTGAGGTACTAATATCACTTTTGTCATCGGATAATGGAGCATAGCATATATCCTTTAGGAATGTTCCATTTGCATCTATATTTTTTATCTCTTCTTGCAGATTAAAAAAAACAGTAAGGAACTCCTTATGAAACACTGGGCCAAATGTAATAGGTCCGTTTGAAGTGTTGTGTACTATATTTGGTAGGTTCACAGCTTTGATTATGATCTGAAAAAGACAAGAATGCAGTCAGTATTTTTTCTCGATAATAAACGAGAAGGGACGTGTGAGACGCTTTTTACGCGTCACAACTTTTATACCCGGCACTCAGTACTACCTCTGCACCTTAGCGGTGTTTAGTCAAATTTTAAATTTTTTCTTCATCTGTCATCTACATCTACAACACTTCTCACACCAACACGCTCCGTTAGCTCGCCGCCCTTCCCCAGACCCACACACTGCAGACTCGTGGCAGAGGCAGAGGCAGCACACAAAAAAATAAAACGAGAAGGGACGTGTGAGACGCTTCTTACGCGTCACAACTTTTATACCCGACACTCTGCACCTTTGCGGTTATTTGTCAAATTTTAAATTTTTTCTTCATCTGTCATCTACATCTACAACACTTCTCACACCAACACGCTCCTTTAGCTCGCCGCCCTTCCCTAGACCAACACACTGCAGACTCGAGGCAGAGGCAGCGCCCGCACAAACAAAAAAAACAAATAAAAGCTGCGGGACGGGGTGGGTTAAAAGTAGGAAGAGGCTTCGGCAGGGGGAGGGCAGAGGCAGAGGCCGAGTGAAGCAGAAGCAGAGTGTGAATGAGAGAATGTAAAAAAGAGCAACAAAAGCTGCTGGGACAGCGTGGGTTTAGCCACTGGAAATTAATTTCTCCATCGTGGCTATAATAATGATCAGATCGGATCCCAATTTAGTGATCTGATAGATATGGCCATTCCCTACGGAATGGCGTTTTTAGTTTTCTTTTATCTTCAAAATTGCTGGGGCGGAAGGGGCGTGGCTCATTTTATAATACACTGGTTTCAGTGTGAGCATATAGCAGTCTGGATGCAAAATTTGGTGGCTGTAGCTCTTATAGTCTCTGAGAACTAGCCGACAAACAAGACGGACAGACGGACAGACAGACATGGCTCTATCGACTCGTCTATTAATGCTTATAAAGAATATATATATACTTTATGGGGTCGGAAACGTTTCCTTCTGTGCGTTACATACAATCCTTATTCCCCACAAATACAATATACCCTATTTACGCTTCGAGTACCGGGTATAAACATATATTCAATGAGGAAATAGTGAGTGAAAGACCAAATAAAAGGGCAGCAAAGAAATTGCATTGCACACTGTTTCACAAAAAAATTAAATTACTTACTTGTTCTATCCTAAAGAATGGTTCGAATTTGTTGTCAAAAAAATCTCTTTCAATTCTAGACTTGGAATTTGGTGAAGCCCAAAGTTGGACTGGATCCGTTGTAATTTGTATAAACGTGACTCCGTATCCTAGGATTGAAACTAGTAAAGCACCGGCAAACAAGGTAATCCGCGGATAGCTGGCAAAAAATGTTCCCCACTTGGTAAATATGTTTTCCAAAAAAACCTCTGTTTTATCGCCCAGATTTTCAAAAAAGGGCGTATGCTGTCGGAAATTTGTATCATCAGGGACGTCGTTGCCTTCAATTGTCGGGTTTTCATCTAAAATTATATAAAATAAAATAAAAACAATTTAATAAATGCGGTAAAATATGTACTTGGAACTTCTCGTTTACTTACCAATTATCGAATCTTGAGTAAATACGTATGATCCCATTAGGAATGTAAAGACTCCCACAATAAAAACACACGACATAATTACGACGTAGGCATCAAATCCTGCTATTGTAAATTTCTCGGGAACTTCGGGTTTTGGTGGAGCTATCGGGCAAGACATTTCACAGTCACTGCACGAGCAAGCAGGTAATAAGTTCTAGGAAAAAATTTAAAACATATCTAATTATATTTATTGCCATTATAGCTTTTTCCATTTAGGTTCTATTTGTTACTATTATGGCAAATACATTTAAAAAGGGTTTGATATGATTTTCAATGAAATGTAAATTAATTAAATAGGTAATAAAATAGATGGACTGGAAGGATTAGTCATTCGACTTACATTTATCGCTTTGTTACAAGGCACTGTATGTGGGTTTAAAGGCAAAGTTCCATTTATTGTAGAATTTGATTGATGCTGAACATATGTTATTTGAAATGGAACGTATATATTGTTTGCATCTCCCATGTAAGTAAACCATTTCGTAGGACTACAGCGTGATGCAGGATACGCTCCGCACATTAGATCAAGTGCTAATTGACCGGTTTGTGGCACGGAAACCTATGAACAGAGAAATACACAATTAAAACACTAACCACAAAGACTTTCATCTTAACGTAACACACGTATACCGGAAGCATAGTGTTTCAACATCTCCAACAAATTTCGATTTACTTTTGAAAACAAAATAATATGTGCTCGTGCTTTCGCCAATCTCGCCGAATTGTAAAAATTGGCATTTCATGCATAATAATAATAATAATAATAATGGTATTTAGTAAGAACTAGACTGGTTGGTTTTAACATACCTGGGAGCATGATTTATAAGTTTTGTTTATATATTCTGCCGTGATGTGTAAGTCCAACGAACTGACATAGGGTAAACCTAAAATTAAATTTATAAATTTATTTAAAATATATGAAAAAACAAATAAAAGACAAAATCTTAAAAATATTTGAAGATATTTAAAGACATATAAAACATGTTTTTAAAAATGTTCTTAAAGTATTACCTTCTGTATTATTTTTCGTGGCAGCCACATGCGCAAATTGAGATTGATTTGCAGAGCAAGTGAACTCGCAAATGTGTCGAACTAAGTTCGACATACAAGATGGGCATCGATCCAGAATTGCAGCGGCCAGTTTTACATTTTCATTTAATATTTTCACCTTAAAGACAATGCAAATATATTTAGATATTTTAAAATGTGTAATGCAGTTTTTTTTTGGACGAATTATTTCACTACAAAAAAAACGTCTATATTCTTTTTTCATCGAAGAGCAGCTCAGAATATGTTACACTTTTCCTAATGCGTACCTACTCATATTTATATATTTATATGACATTTTATAATTACCTGATTAATATCGCAGCAGAACTCCGTTTGACCTTCATCAAGTAAAAAGCCGCAGCGCTCTTTTAGCAAATCTATCCCATCTTGAGGCATTGATTTTGCAGTCCCATTATATGAGCAGTATTGATTATGATTAAAGGCATCAGTATTACATACTCCAAACCACACACAGTCCTAAAATAAAACAATTATGAGAAATAAAGTACGAATGAAATTACGTCACTCAGAAAAAGAAAACAAAAAACAGAATAAAGCATTTAACAAATTTTAAATTACAAAAGTAAATATCCATTTTATTAGGATTGCCAAAGACTCTCAAACGAAAGACAATATAATAGTAAGATGAGTAACGCCCCAAAAATTGAACTGCCATATGCTAGCAAGGTTATTGAGAGCTTTGAAAAGCGATGAAACGCGTGCCATCTCAGTCACACATATTTGAGACCGTGCAAATTTATAACTAGAATGCTCTTGAATGTGTACGTATGTACATACATACCTCCGGCTTCAGGCTTCAATAATATTTTGACGACGCTCCCTAATCACCCAGATGACAATTACTCGCATGTGAAGTCAGCTATGAAATAAATTGTGTGTTTTTTCGTACATATGAACTTATGTCTGGACTTTGATCTACAATGACTGCAGCATTATGTAGTATATGTATACAACACCAACCCGAAGCCTGTTACGCCCGAATCCCGGCAGAAGCGGAGCCCTTCGTTCGCCCAACCGACCGAGGGGAGCTATCGCAAGACGCGAGACGCCGGTCGCGAACATTGCTCTGACCACAAATACATTGTACCTTATTTACTCTTGGAGTACTTTGTTGAAATACCAGTTCTTTTTAAATTCTTAAAAAAAAATTCTGCTATAGAAAAAATAGCTGCTGGAATGGTAGCCACTGCAACTGAATATAGACATTCTCTACAGAACTGCGTGTTTTGATTTCTCATATCTTTAGAATTGTGGATGACAACATGATCAACATGACATTCACAACGTCATTTTTGATCAATGAAAACCATAAATGTCAAGAAAGAAAAGGTATGGGATATTGGGATTTAACAGACTTTTAAAATATAAAAAACGTTTTAAATATTTTGATGGAAAAGATTACTAACTTGTTTAGACAATTGAAAAAGACTAAGTAGTGTCACGATAAAAATGGTCCGGACTCCGATTGCAGTACTCCTGAGAGGGATTGAGGAACACATCCTTTATATAAAATTCAAATCGCATATCTGTAAATAAAATAGTCAAAGATGGCCAACTGTTTATTAATTTACTTATAATCTATCAGGAAAACTCGGTTTGTGTTAGTGTTTTCAATGAAAATGACGCACGAAAATTGTATTTGCACTAAAACACTATTTGCAATTCATTGAACGAAACATATTAATTACATGTAATATGTCACGAGAAAACTACAAAAATTGTATCAACCAAGAAATTTATGTGGAAATCAATAAGAAAATGAAAATATTATATTGCACTGCTGAATTAAAACACATTTCTGTATCAAACAAAGCTCAACAAAATATAAATTTAATATTTACTGAGCACAATGTAACCAACCAATGTCACAAACAGACAGAGAGTACATACCAACAAAACATACTGTAATCAAGTAGCGGAAACCGAAAGCAATTAAAAGAAGAAACAGTTAAAATTAAACAATCAATCGCACAATTACACCCAAACATTGACACTTGAGGACAAGCTAAAGTCTAAAAGGTGGGGGTGTAACAAATCCGCAAGAAAATAAACTGTTCACAACTACATATGTTAACATACAGACACTCAATATGAGTGTTTATTTTAATGAATTAAAGAATGCATATATTATGCATATATATGTACATATGATTATCCGCTGACGCACAATGGATTTTTGTTTTTGAAAGCAGTACATGGAAATATGTACGTGCATACACATTATATACAGACACAAATGACACACCATTTCCATATACTTACATATGCACATATGTAAACAAATAAAAGCAGGTTTAGAAATATTTATTTTACTAGGTGCATATATTTATACAAAGGTATGTACATATCTTTACATTAAGATTATCTAAAAACAATACAATTAAATGCACAAGAAATGTGAGTAATCGTATTTGCAACCCAATCAAAGTGCAATGCATGTGTATGTACATATGTACGTATGTAAAAAAAATACTTTCTATTGAACACAATTCAATTGCAGTTTTACTGACCCTTGTTTTGAAAGTGAAATTCACCGATGTACAGTGAAAAATATTATTTAAAACAAGCACCTTCCATCTTATTTCACTTGATAAACTGATCGAATATCTGTACTCGATAAAATGTAATCATTCTCCAGTGACAAATTTGTTTGTATCAATGAAGAACTTTCACTGTCTGTCTTACATCTATACATCTACATTTACATCTATACATACATATGTACATAGATTTTTGTATTTCCTTTTGCTTCATAGACAATCATTAAAATTTAGAAAATTGAATTCCAGCTGAATTTATATTAAATAACAAGTTTATTTACTCAGCCGTAAATATTGGATGCATTTTTATTTTATTTCAAAATCCGGTCAAAATAAGATCGCTTTTACAATACACCTTGTAAACAAAAACCCGAAACTTTAGATAAGAGACTGGATAATACAACTAAAAATGCATCTCACTATATTTGACATATTTTTAGCGCAATTTGGCAAGCTCCTTCGGATTTATATAAATAACAAATTATTCATCATAATTATACATAATACTAGAGCAACAAAATGTTGCCAAATTAGAAAAAAAAAAAGAATCTTTTGACATGGTATTTTACGGTCTTTGATACCTGTAATAATAGTGTTCACGAGTTTGAAATTTTCTAACAACGTTCCTTTTCTTTTTGCATGCATATATCATAACAACAAGCGCACAGAGGTTTCGCTCACGGATACTTTTATAAAGAGGAAAAGTTACAAGTGTATTTTTTTACGTTTTTTTTTTTAATTGAAACCTGTACCATTGATAAACTAAAAAATATTAATTTTGAAAAGTAAGGACAATTCATGGCGCACCAAATTGTAAGCATCAGTTGTTTGTTTCATGGATGGTAGATGGGGCCAATGGACCCGTGTTTCACGTCTATAATCAATTCCTAGCACTCCCTCAGGTGAAGATTAGTGTGCAGAAGCTATAATTGACTGCCCATATTTTTTAATTTGTTCGTTTTCTATATTCCAAAATGTAAGTTTATTTGCGAACTAGTCTAGTTCTTTATTACCGATAAATAAGACTTCGATAACAAATAATGAATTAATATTTTCCAAAAAGAGAATTTTACCACATTGTTATCATATTTTTGATTGTGGTTTGTGGTTGTATCGGGACTGGGTAAGCTCTATATTTCAGGTGGGTACAGCTAGTACTGTAATTTAAATAAGAACAGTACCTATTTCAGTATCTCTTTGAAATATTTATATCCCGATAGATCTGCATTTGATTGCTTGGAGTACATAAAATAGTTATATGTGTATGTATGTTTACAAAAACTTTTACATACACATCTGTGTATGACAATCTCAGATATACCAAGCCACAGAGAGCAGGTTTGAAGCTGCTTTGAGTTTATTAAGCTGCCAGCTGTATAATATACAATAGCAAGATGTTGCATGAGTGATCAAAAAATTGTTCTATGGCAGGGAGTGATGTTACGCCCCGTAAACAGAGGGAACGCGCGGGGTCTCAATTCTCTTTTCGCCTGCGCGAAGGGATCGTCGTTTGTGAAGGCACTGACGGCAGGCAAAAGTCTCGACTCTCGAGCCTCAGGCTCGCCGCACAGTGGGCAATTTATAGCTTGCCAAATTAATAAGTGAATGACAGTTATATGGAGATTTTGCAAACTGAAACATGTTCTACTTTGAATGCTTGTGTCTCATAAGCTATAATTATCTTGAAAATTCGATATTTTAAAGATCTCATAAAGCTTCTCGACTTTTGCCACTTCTTTTCGGCTGAGTCCCCACTGTGCCACACCAAAGACTAGCGCTGGCCGAGTACAATTTCAGAGGCGAAGGATAGCAAGAAACAATTGAGGCACTATCCCCGCGCTACCGTACCATACAGCGTTAAACGAATTATGCAAAAGCATTAGCTCCTCATGCAATATCTTTGTATAGTATTTAATAATATATTTCGTAAAAAAGAAAATGTTTTTCAAATTGTATTATATATTTTGGTGTTCAATTTTAATGGAGAAATGGCTATGGTCTGTCTTTGGCAAAACGTTTCATCATACTTATTGTTCTGACATTAATAAAATATTTTATACAGTATTGAGTAACTATTGGCAAATATATGTATGTATATTGTTACAACAATAGTCAGAATTGAACCCCTTTAATGTTGTGAAGGAAGCGAAAATGTTCCACTGTGACTTGAAAAGGGATACTTACCTAAAGTACTTTTATGCTTAAATGTGAACCAGGTCGAGAACTATGTATCTTCTGGGGTCCGAAGTTTTTTTCATTTTACATCCATAAGCTAGAAGACAAATAAATCTACATACACGTACATATTTATCGCTAAAACATGCTGTTAGTTATCCTTATGACCCAATCTAAAACATTCTATGTATGTACAATTTACATAGTAAATATATGTATGCATATGTACATAGATACATCTCTATGTCATAATATATGTACATACCAGATATGATTTTAACAAAATCTATTTACAGTGACAAACAGAAAGAACTGTCAGTTTTGTGGGTGTATTAGAGTTTCCCTATTGTGATGTGAGAAAAAAGAGAGATTTGTGCGCACGTTGCGAGAGCTAAGAGAGTCCAGTCCGCCACTGTAAATGGTTTTCTTCATTCTGACATGAATAAAAGATCCGATTTCTACGGAATTTATAACTAAGATATGATGAAACGGAAATGCTTCGGTTTAATTCCGAAAAATAATAATAAATAAAAACCAGAATATGTGAAAAATATTGAGACATGCTTCAAAGCTAAGAAACTTATTGGCACTCACTCAGGGCCCATATTCTTGATAATTTAAGACTCGTGGTAATCCTATGCCCACTTTTAATATACTCCTTCAAATAATGGTATTCAATATGTGTACAATTCGTTATTATATTTATTAAATATTTTTATGTATATATTAAAGGTACATATTTTTTAATGACAGTTTTTTTTTTAATACCTTTTAGGCCACAATGGATGACAAAGATAAAGCTCAGCATAATATGATATCCAATTTGCCTCTCCTGTTTGCAAATGGGTACCCAACGTCGCTTGAAAAAATAACCGAATCGCAATTGGAAAGTTTTATTCCATTTATGGTACAATGCTCTTTGGGACACATAAACTTACCAAAAAAAATTGATTGCAGTGAGCCAGAATGGTGGCCGGAAAACGCACCATTTGGAATTCCGTTAAAAAAACCAAACGATTTTGTTGGGGTAAATATTCACAGAGCATTTTAGATAAACAGTAAACAAAATGAATTGACTGCATACATGGTCAACAACAATAGCAGAATTGATATACCCATGGCAGCCCGTCTTGTTCGTTTCAAACTTTCGCACCGCCCCCACAAAGAAAATTCTGATTTTCACTACTAACTCTTCTAGTAAGATTACTTCTAGTAAATGGAAGTATTAATACTGTCACACATACTTTTGTCTACTGTTTTATTTATTTATATTATTTAATTCTCAATTAATTATATAATTTTATTAATATATTATAGAGCTGGATGGAAAAAATGAAAGAAATTGTAGTTATTTGCTATCAATTTCACAAAAGCCTATTTCTATTACGGTTCTGTAATGATTTAGCTGCGTATGAACATGCAAGCTTACGGTTTATAAACAATTATAATTCAACAACATCGCTATATGATAGGAGAAACAACAAATTGTTGGTAACATTTAGGAATGAAAACATGGTAAGTAAATTTAGTTGTAGATTTATATTTAATTTCTTAGGTTTAAGGTTTAAATAATAACTTTTATTCCAGAAGTTAAGCAAGTTCTTCTTAAATTAAATTCATTTAATTTATAATTTAATCTATTTCAGTCATATGACAGACAGCAAAAAAATAGAAAATGTCTGTTACTTCAAAAAAATATGAATACATCAATTGATAATTTACAACATATGATGGTTGAACCACCACCTTTTGATATATATCTTTGCGACAATTGTGATGCCGAACTATATTCTAAACAAGCTATATTGGTAAGTTTTTTTGTTCCTATATGATCTTTTAACCCTAAGTACGATATTTTGACCGTGGTTCGTAAGTCAGCAATTTCCACGTAAAAATGTATACGTAATTAAAGTATTATTGTATATTATTGTATGTATAATTAAAAGACTATATATTGAAACTTTGTACACTGCCGATAACTTGAAGAGAACAAAGTTTATTTTTTACGAGAAAGTAAAACATACATGTATAAATATTGGTAATAATAATAAACTCTGCAAATTTTACTCATTGCAGGAACACGAAAATGTTTGCTGCATGGAGGATGATGTAATAGTTTGCGACTCCCCGGAGCCTGAAATAAAACATGAAGGCAAAAATGAAAACAACGAATTGCGAAATGCGTTTCTTTTGAATTTTAATCTTCAACCAAAATGTTCGGAATCTCGTTTTTCGAATGATTTACAAAAAACATACCTATTTTGTGAAGAAACAACCATGGACTCAACGGGGAGAAATAGACGGCTACCATCGCGAAGAAATCGAAACGTACATTCATTTAATAGGTGCTCGTTTATCCCAATATCATCTCCCGCAGGACAAAAACTTTTAAAGTCCACAAAACAAACAGTATCTGTGGAATATATGTCCGAGAGGCAGGAACGTCTTGATCGATTTTGTTACACTCCCTTAATCTTAAAGTCAAGTACCAAACAAAAATTATTCGAAAAGAAAACAAGCGCTAACCACACTCATTGTACTTTTAAAAAAACCCACGAACATAATTTGCATATATATTCATTTCCCCGCCGACAATTTGGAAAACGAAGGGATACAACTCAAAACTTTTTGTTTCTCAATTCTCCGTTACTTAAGCAATGCCGTCCAATGTCAGTCAGATTAAAAAAGATTTCTGAACATAAACTGGGAGAACAGATGCCCAATTCAAATGCAAAACTTAACATAAGACTAACTCGCAATAATTCGCTTAACTCTAATTGGTCAATTTCACCAGCTAGCGAGGATATTGTAGACACTATTGATTTATGCTCATCAGATGATGAGCAACAAGAGCAAACTATTGTATACCCGAAAACACTTGGCAGTGACTCACTTGCTATAATATCACTTACGCCTAATAACAGACTGTCCAGTAAAATGGCGGATGTCTTAAGCCGAAAAAAATGCCATTTGCAATCACAAACGCAAGCGGATAACTCCATCAAACCACTGCAACAATCTGTGTATATATTTTCCAATTACAAGGCTAATTCAGTTTTAAGTCGCTGCGCGGCTGATTCGAAATTAAATCCTTCATTAGTTACTTCTTTAAATTCACCAGATACATTTCCAGATTCTCATATTCACCCAAAAGAATGTAATCAAGAGAACTGCAATTTTTCAAAGAATTTAGTAGCTGTGACTGATTGGTACGCACACTCAACTACTTCCGATAAGACGCCAATTAACCAAACAGCTGATAGTAATACATTTGAATCACTTTCGGCAGCCCAACCTTACAACAGTAGTGCGCGAATAATTATTGATTTGACAACATAAAAACTGTAATCACTAAGTTATTAAAGTAAATTGTTATTTTAAAAGTACAACACAAATAATCACTGAAAAGTATTCCTCGAAACATTAAAATTTCATCAAAAAGTGCATTTTTTGGTTGTACTACTAAATAAAAATATATTTTTTTTATCTATATGTGAAATTTTTTACCCTGTATTGCTGTCCAGTCTAGTTCATGTTCATAATACAAATTTTGGTATGGCTGTACTGAAGAATTTAATGTTACATTTCTTCACATCTAATTTAACAGGACGAAACGGGCTGGTTTAAAAATCCATTTAAAGAAAACCCAGCATGGTAGATATCGCTGTGATTACAACAAATTGTCCAGTGACAATATATGCCTGATTCGTATGCCTTTGCTAGTTATTGCTATAGTTACGTTCCACGCACAAGCAAAATATATAGCAAATTCTTGGCTAAAATTTTTTGTGGTTCTGGGTACCCGCCTTTAAAAACGCGCAAAATTTGATTTCAATGATGTGAAAAGTAAACAATCGTGATATCGACCAATATCGCGACTTTAAACCATCGATAGTAAGCTAGTTCGATAGTGTCCAACCATCGATAGTATCAATAGTTCTTCACCAATACTTGCAAGTCAATTTTAAATGCTGAGACTCCTAACTAGCTAGTAATATCAAATACATTATATTTCTGGTGTTCGTTCCGCAAACAAATCTTTCTTGAGTTCAAAATTTTAAGTACAATTTATTTATTTTTTTTTTTTCTAATATTCAACATAAACTGAAGTACCTGGTCAATTCGGACTAATCGTCTGAGACCAACCAATTTCGCTGTAGCCATTAAGTAAAAAAAAAAAGTAATATCAAATAGAACATAAAAATCGATTATAAACATTTAAGATTCACGGTATATTTACAGTATATTTTGAAGATGCATGGGTATTTCTCGGTTTTTTTTGAGGGTCTGTCTGTATATTATCAATAATTTCGAGGTCACACTGAAGTGCAAAGTCGAATCTGAAAGATACGTAAACGTAATTTAAATATGTGGAAGCTAAAGTCTTTGAAAAGTCCAGTACAAACGATTGTTCTAAGGTAATATCCAACAAATCAAAAATGATTGCCTTGAGTTCGTTGACAGCTCAGCTACATTTTACATAAATACATACATATGTCTATAAACATATGTACATACATATGTCTATAAACATATGTACATACATATGTATACATATGTACATACATAAATTAGGACCATGTTGATATTTCTCTTGTATCCCTCTTGGACTCTGTTAATTGACAGAGTATGTAAACCATTATTGCCTCAAAAGTACAAAAATTGTATTTTAAAAAGAAAATCTGAGCCTATTTGAACATTTTTTGTGGTGTCTGATAGTCTATTCACTATGATACTGTTTGGGTTCAAAGTTCGAATTCGGGTAAATTGATTTGTTATTGATTTGTAAAGTGTACATATTTATGTATGCAATTTAAAATCCCTTACCTTTAGTGGATCCTACCATTATTTCATAATTAAAAACGAAATTTTGCGGAGCGATGTACAATGTAAGCCGAATCAACAAGTGTCTCGGTTCCAAAAAGCCAAAGTGTTAAAACGGTAAACAAAAATAAATATTACGGGTATAAGGAGTGTGAGAAATTTCTTTTTTAACAAATCTATATTATATCTTATTTTATTGTAATATATTGTTATTATTATATTTTTTCTAGACGGCTATCAGTTGGTGACTCCAGGCTAAGCCAAAAACATGATTCTAAAAAATCACCTGTGAAACAGAATGAATCTTTCATGGCTAATATTTTCCGTCGGTCTTTTGTCCCAAAGCAAGTGTTTCCTTATCCGGATGTGCTAAGCCTGGAGGAAAAGGAATCAACTGGCAGTTTAATAGACCCTTTTGAACGTTTTTTTTCTGTATGTATTTTACTTTTAATATTATACAGTCAGTGCAACTGTACTCATTTTTAGGACATTAATGACGCTGCCAAAAGCGATCAGGCTGGAAAGACTGACGAAAAAACCCTCTCCGCGCTATGGGAGCTGGGTGCATTCGCAATACAAGTGGTAATATATTTTGAAGATTGCTAATCATAGATTAAAACAGTATGTAGGGCGCCGATTTGGACTCGAAACTATCAGATTTGGATAGTAAAGGGTGTTTGAGGGCGCCGTTTTAAAACTTCACCCGGGTGCAAATATTCCATGGCACGGCCCTGATCATACTTGTTTGTTTCAGTTTTTTGTTATGTAAAAATATATATAGAATAATCTTTTTAATGTTTTCTTCTTTGTATCCATAGCCTGAAAATTTTGGCGGCTTGGGTCTAAATAATACCCAGTATGGAAGACTTTGTGAAATAGTTGGTGCCAACGACTTAGCATTGGGAATAACGATCGGCGCACACCAAAGTATCGGATTTAAAGGAATACTTTTGTATGGGACGCCTGAACAAAAGGAAAAATACTTACCCAAAGTCTCCACCGAACGTGTCTACGCTGCCTTTGCACTTACGGAGCCATCTTCTGGTTCCGACGCTGGATCCATACGATCCCGTGCAGTAAAAAGTGCTGATCAAAAATACTATGTACTGAACGGTTCGAAAATTTGGATATCCAATGGAGGAATTGCTGATATTATGACTGTTTTCGCACAGACTGAAATAGTGGATCCAAAAACAGGTGAAAAGAAAGACAAGGTAAACATGTTTTATTTCAAATTTTACTGCTTAAATCTTGATGCCTAAGGGAAGAATATATTCTTGGTTAGCATCAATAGCCGAGTAGAGACTGTCTCTCTTGTCAGTCCCGTCTCCCTGTCTGTTTGTCTGTCAGTCCGCCTTGTTTGATGCCTGGTTCTTAAAAACGCACTACCGCTCACCCTCAGACTGGGTGTTCGACTCACTGCACCTTAAAATAGTCTTCATTAGTGAACATTATAAGTCTGCCAGGGGTGTGCTCAAATTATCTCTGGACAATTGTATAATATATTGTTTATGGTTTTCTTTCATTAAACTTACACTTTGTTTTTTTAAATTTAGGTAACCGCGTTTATTGTGGAACGATCTTTTGGAGGTGTTACAAATGGTGCACCAGAAAAGAAAATGGGAATCCGAGCATCAAACACAACGGAAGTTTACTTTGAGGACGTAAAAATTCCAATTGAAAATATTCTTGGAGAGGAAGGGGGTGGATTTAAGGTTGCTATGAATATTTTAAATAATGGTCGGTTTGGAATGGGAGCCACTCTCTCCGGCACGATGCAGAAATGCATTGAAATTGCAACTTCTCATGCGAACAGCCGGGTCCAGTTTGGACAAAAACTAAAGAATTATGGCTCTATTCAAGAAAAATTAGCACAAATGAGCATTCTTCAATATGCCACAGAATCGATGGCATTTACGATATCACAAAACATGGACGGTGGGAGTCAAGACTACCATTTAGAAGCCGCCATATCAAAAATATATGCCAGTGAAAACGCCTGGTACGTTTGCGATGAAGCTATTCAAATTCTAGGAGGTATGGGCTTCATGGTTGAAACTGGACTTGAACGAGTTTTGAGAGATTTGCGGATTTTCCGAATTTTCGAAGGAACAAATGATATTCTTCGTTTGTTTGTAGCACTGACTGGAATTCAATTCGCAGGATCTCATTTAAAAGAGCTGCAAAGTGCTTTTAAGAACCCAGCTACCAATTTGGGTTTAATATTTAAAGAAGCTTCTAAGCGTGCGGCTTCTAAAGTTGGTCTAGGTGGCAGTGATTTAAGTTCTCATGTAGCTCCTGAGCTTCAGCCCTATGCCAAGCAAACTGCAGAATGTATAGACCTTTTCGGTCAAACAGTTGAAGAGCTATTATTACGGTACAACAAAAATATAGTAAACGAGCAAATTATATTAAACCAGCTGGCAAACGCAGCAATAGATATATACGCTATGGTTGTCACACAATCACGGTCATCTCGAGCCTTACAACTAGATCTTCCAAGTGCACAACATGAACTTAACTTGACTAAAGCATTGACCATTCAGGTAAGTTTGCTTATCATATAAAGCAATACATAGAAAATAAAAAAAGACAAGTTTGTACGTAGTGAGTCGCGGCACAGTCAGTCGGTCAGTGTAAAAGTAGAAAAGCCGCGGTTCACGACGTTCTTCCTCTTTTAATTCATCACTTTTATTGTCTATGCTGCAAAAATCTCAATGAGGCCTAGAATAAATTTACTATAATAGCTTTGTATAATTACAATGTTTTTTCATCTTTTGTTTGTTTTCAGGCCTCTGAGCGAGCGATAAAGAACCTGAAGAATGCCACTTCAAGCCATAATCGAGATTTGACAGAAAAAATGTCAACTATAGCTCAGACGGTTTGTGAAAAGAATGGTGTTTATTCCACTGGAGTAATAGATATTTAAACGATAAAACGAATTTTCCCAACCATTTTGCTATGAATAATATAGAAACATTTTTAAAGTATATTGCATTGTTGAACTTTTCTTGGTTTTTGAATAACACACAGCGACAAGTGGGAATTTTTTAAGGTACTTTGCCCGAGAAAAAATTGCGGTGTGGGCCTCGATGAGGCAAACGTTCCCTAAGGAACACTTCTTAAAACTTAAACTGAAATCACAGAAACCCTAGCGGGACATTATACCCAGTTATCAAAAAGTAAAAAGAGTATATTGTAATTGAGGTCGGAGCAGTGTGCGTAACGGACATAAACGTTTTCGACTCTAAAAAGTTTGAGTATTCTTGAATACCATCTGACTGGTAGGGAGATTATTCCAAACTGGAGAGTGAGCTGATAGACAGATGTAAGTAACTTATTAGAAGTCGTCGTACGAGACTTTAGGTCAGCAAGGGACTCTCCGATACTAAGGATTCCGATGTGATGGCTTTCACGACGAAAGCGAAGTTTTTGTGCGATGCTTTCGGTTACACAATTAATCTGAGAATATAGCAACGCTGTACCAAGTTTGTATTCACCTGAAGCATCCTTGAACAATACCCTCGCTGTTGCTAACAGTATTTCTGTGATAAAAGCGTTCCGAAAAATATTATATTGGGACGTATAATTGATTAATCTATATATGTACCATTTTCCACCGTTCCACAGTCGACGCTCAGATAACACTAGCTTGACTCATCGCACAGAATTCAGAATTAAATCGAAATTCTATCTCTGGGAGCCCTGGTCACATTGTGTGCGTATACGTCTATATTCTTATGTGTGTGTGTAATATTTGATGCGGCTTATAAATGGAAACTCAAAAATATCTATGAAATTTAGTTTCTGACCGCTTTGATATTTGATATGTACATTAAATAACAACTATTCAATTAATTTAATAAAAATGGATTCCTTTAAAAAAAATGACGGTAATCGTGATGAGTTAATCATACAACAACAACGCGATATTGAAAAAGAAGTAGGTATATTGTGGATAATACAAAATTTTTAATAACTAACTTTATTTAAATACAGATAAGTGATTCCACCCCCTTGGTTGGTGAACAATTACCATTAACGTGCCTTTGGGCCGAATATAATGGCGATGACGTTTTTACTGCAAAAATTCAAGATTTAGCAAAAAAGTATAAGTTTATCAGACGCACTCGACCTGATGGAAACTGCTTTTTTCGCGCTTTTGCGTACTCATATATGGAGTACTTAATATCAAATAACAGTGCATATAAAGAATTCCAAAAGTTGGCAGAAGATTCTAAAGATAAGCTTGTTGAACTTGGATTTCCGAGTTTTACATTGGAAGACTTTCACGAGACAGTAAGTAATATATAAAATTTTAACTAAAGAATTCACTAAATATATTTGTTGTATCCATTTTTAGTTCATGGAAGTTATCAGACGCGTTAGTCCAGATAACCCAGGGGGTTACAATAAAGTTCAAAGCGAACTGCACAAAATATTCAATGAGCAGGGTTACTCCGATTACGTGGTTGTTTATTTACGTTTAATTACATCCGGAAAACTCCAGGAAGAGGCAGAGTTTTATCAAAATTTTATTGAAGGCGATTTCACCATTGAAGAGTTTCGTCATCAAGAAGTTGAACCTATGTTCAAGGAATCTGATCATATCCATATAATTGCACTATGTGCAGCTCTTGGTGCTGGTGTACGTGTGGAATACCTGGACAGAGGAGAAGGTTGTATTGTGAAAGCCCACGATTTCCCCGAAGGAACGGAGCCGACGATTTACCTAATATATAGACCTGGTCACTATGATATACTTTATCCAAATTAAGTCGAGCTACGAATGTTCTTTTAAATTAAGTCTGTAACATAATGTTAACTTTTGTTATAGTAGGTTTCAACCAAAATAAAAAAAGTAACGCCGCAAGTAAAAAGCTAGCAACAAACTCCTTGGGATTCTTTACGGTCTGTAATTTGTTAGTCAGTCTTGCTCCGGTTTTCAATTTCAAACAACATGTGCAAAACAAAACGTTCATAAATCTGCGATGCTCTGCTCCGATCTCGCTCCCAGTTTTCAGCACTTTTTCCTCCGTTCCGTAGCTACAATTTGGAGTACGTACACATTCGCATGTTTCAGCTGATGCAATTGGAGTCTCACAGAAATTGTAGCTCTTTAAGCGGAATTACATATGTAATAAAAGGTTCAAGCTATACTTAAACTAGAGAACTACTTACATATATTAGGAATGATTTTTATTTGGATTTCATTTCGGTTGCAAATCATCAGAGTCGTTATAAATATTGCTTGTAAAGTAGGTCGGAGCTATGTCCTGTTGCGTGGAAATTAACTGGACTAAAAGAGAGTTGTCCGTTATAATGCTCCTTACTAGCTCTTCAATTTTTGAGGACGTATTGCCCAGATGATCCTGGGTAGTATTTTCTAAACTTACAAGATATTGTGGGTTATCAGAATTCGTTACCACATCCATTCCACTTTTGTTAAACAGATCCATTATCCAGGAGACCACAAAGAAGCAAGCAGCGTTCATTGGAAATGCCCTTATCAGTGTAGAGTTCAATCCTCGAAAGAAAAACATGGTACCCTCTCTTTCAAAGCCCTTTTTTGCACAGTCCATGAATCCAGTGTATTTTGCATTTTTTCCTAGGGCATCTGCTTGCATTTGTGTTTTTACTACATCGATGGGATAGCAGGCTAGCCATGACGCTATTCCGGCACAGCCTCCGGCCATAAGAGTATACGGGACATTAGGAATCTCCTTTTGTCGCATTATGAACTCATAGGATACAAAGTAGCTGGAAAATCCTATGAATACATGCAAAATTTACAAAGTATATAGTAAAATTCTTTATGAATAAACAAATATCACGTCGATATTCATTCGGAGATAAACTGCGAATAAAGGGTGCACAGACTTACCTGGAATATCTCTGAAAATGGTGGCTGTTAAGCCCTTAAACGCTCCACGTATTCCTTCTGTTTTTATTATATATCTAAGGCAGTGGATGGGCCCAGTGAATTTTATTCCACTGTCAATCTGTGTCGACAACTGAAGTCTTGTTTTTGCCAACTCCATCGGTGCACATACGAAACTTTGGGCTAGACCAGCAATAGACCCAGCATAGAAGTGTGAACGCAATGAATTGGGTTCATCGGACAAGCGCTGAACATTTCCATATACTCCGAAAACGATTGAGTTAACTAATCCAATTCCCGACATTGGGCTACTTATTCCTCTGTATAAGCCTCGGATTTTATCTTTTCGTACTATTGTCTTTAGGCAGTGAAATGTTCCTTTATATTTCGGATTTTTTGGGTCATCAGTTTGCAAATGCACTTTTACAGTATCTAATGGGTGGCCAACAAGAACTCCAGCAGCACCTGTGGAGAAAAAAGAACAACAATTGCAATTAGTCATACGCTAAAAAGTCCTGAGCTATAGAATTAAATTTAACATGAAAAATTTACCTCCCAGGAGGCCAGCAATAAAATCCACAAACATTCTTTGCTACCAGCCTTCTGATCTATTTTCAAACAAATCGCAGTCAGGAGTTTATGTTGTGTATTCTCTGAAAATAAATAAACAAATGTGTTGTTTTAGAATGTCCCTTGCATAATGTTATGAATAATTTAATAAATGTAGGCAACCAGGCAAACATCAAGTTTATCAGCGTTCCAGCGCATCTCACAACGTTCCCCCTCTCACAACACAAAAAATTGGCAATTGTGACGAAAAAATGCGATAAAGCTGCGGATATGAGCTCTGCCTTTTGTTTGGCTCATTTATTCCCAGTGGTTGTGGGTACGACGCCTAACTAATGCAGCCACATATGCAAAAAAGTTTTTAAAATACAAAATTTTGTTGATTGGTGCATTTTATCTTCCTTTTGGAATATTTAAATATATGACTATACGAACACACCTGCATTGAGTCCACTCGCGCTTATCGTCATATCTTAATGTGCTCCCTTAATACAATTTGTTCTCGTGCTAGTTGAGTTACTGCTAGTTTTCTATAAGCCACGTTCGACTGATTTGCAAAGTGTGAAGCCACTGCTTTTGCTTGATAAAAAAAAATTAAAAACAATTAATTATGTACACACGTATGTATTCAATTTGAAAATTTTGAAATCAGCTATTTTACGTTTATGAAACTCACAATTCTAACGTAAAAATCATGGAAGAATAAAAAATCCTAGTACACCTGTGAACTAAATAAGGTAAACATTGTTTACCCTGTAATATTGTACTATGTAAATCATCAATTGTCGTGTCGATATAGCCAAGTTTGTTCGTCCGTCCGTCTTGATGAGCTCCCGGAAATCAGACTAGAAAAGCTACAGCAACCAAACTTGCATACAGAATGCTGTGATATCACACTGCTACCAGTGTATCAAGCGTTCAAGTGCCGCACAACGTTCCTCCTCGTTGCAGTTAGTCAGTTAGCAAATGTATATTTTTATACTTGTATGTGCTAATTGAACAACTAAACAACTCAAACTAAAGTATCGAATACAATTATTTTTTCGTTCAAAATCTTATCAGCAAATATAATTCAGTGGCAATGTGACAATAACGGCACTGTATGTAGTCAAATATAGCATTAAGTAACCAGATGGACTATATTAACGTGTTTTTTTGTATAAAGAACACTGGCATTTTCACAAGTTCAATAAAATAAAAAAGCGTAATACCATACTGACTATTTTTAAACTGTACTTCACTTTTCGCGCAGTCCTGTAAAAACGTTCCCGTTGCTTCAAAACCACTTTTAATGTCTATATTTGAAACAATTTCGTAAGCGCTGATAAGCGGCTTGTACACATTTAAATATGTACAAACATATTCATGTATATTCAAAGAACACGACTAAGAAATTAGGTAGTGGCCGAGGATTTCATACCCTACCGACTACACCACCCAATTATAATTATTTTATTCTGTAATTCATTGTCATCTAACAGAAAAAGACTTTTTGGTTTCTTGACAAAAAAAAAAGATTGATATTGAAATTATTCATATAACTTCCGTATTTATAACATATTTATAAAAATTGCAAATTGTCAATTTTAATGGATTAAACTTTGTCCAGAACTAATGTGCACTATTGTGATATTCATAACTTTAATGTTGCTATAATTTCCACTTATTGAATCCCAATAAACTTTGAGAAAAATGAATTGAATGAAAAATAATTCATAATGAATACTTTAATATAAACATCCGTACTATTATTGAAATTGTCATTTTTAGCCTTTTTAGCAAAGGGTATTTAGAAGCATTCTTATCTTTTTGATCAGCAAGAGTTGACCTAACAGAATATACATATTTCGATTTTGTCACTTAGAAATTGTCAAACGAACTAATCGTGGTTCGACGGTACGCTTGTCAATCGGTATGTTTTCCAGAGCTGCTTCGGGTAACTAATTGTGTCTGAGTTTGTGCGAATGAGCGACGTCAGCGTCTTGATCGCTGCCTTCACCATTAATCACAACAAATCCATGATCGTCAATGTGCTCCTGGCCATTGCCCAGCTTGCTCAGCGTGGACATAGCGGACTACGCCGGATACGATGCCAACGTCGCTGCTTAGACTACCACTGAGACTGTTATCATCGCTAAGATCACGGATGTCAACATTTTGAGAGGTGGGCCTCTGCTTGGGCCTACATCTCGATGCCGGTGACCAAATGGAGGGCAGAGTAGGAACAGTTTGCTGTTCTCCTTCTGAAAAATGTATGGGAGGAGAAGACACAGAAGAAAATTCACAACGGCGAAACCTGACGAGAAAATCGACTTACCAGACAAAGTTTCCAGATAGAGCCGATAGAGGCCGTTGTCGGAACTCACAGATTTTTGTGTCTCACCACAAGCGACATCTGGTTTTTTGTTTTGCTATTTTTGGGACTGGGTGTTTTGCCAAATGAGACAGGCAATTTTAGGAAAATCGACGGTAAGTTTATGAATTGGAGGTGCCGCAATCGTTGAGCAGGTGAATGGGATTATGGAAAGTGAATCTCTTAGAGGTTAATTATGGTAGGTACATTGGTATATTTCTTTCCCGTTGCATCATCAATCAAGTAATCCTCATAGTTTCTATGCATTCCACCAGAAAGGCTGTAGCATATGCGCTATTTTAGGCCAGGGCCATGACCACAATGGATAATTCTCCAAATGAACACCATGAACCCATTAATAATTGTAGGTTCTTATTGACTAGACGTTTTCTTGTTTTTGTCTTTGGATCCTAATGATGACATCTATGGATATCCTAAAATTAATGTCATCCATTGCCAAATTTATAGTACATATATTGCTGCTGTTGTTCTCGCCAGCACAACAAACATAAATTAATTAGCATAACAAGATTTTAAGACTTCAATTGATCAGCTTTTTGTATTTTTAAACAAATACAAAACAAGACCAAGGAGTTTATATGAATTAGTCTTTGAAGAAAAGTATTTATTCACATCGTAACTTGAAGATCTTGGATTCTCTTTAGATGACCAAAGCGTAGCTTTAAACCTTTATATAATAATCATAACACAGTATGCAAGGGTGAAATTATTGTGAATGAAAAGATGTGTCGACTGTTTATGGTGCTGCGTAAGAGTGCTAAAATAATCCAGTTGAGGTAGTCAACCTTTGCGTTTTTGGGACTGCCTGGATCATGACCGCTGAAACTGAACAATCAACCTTGTTAGGCGGAAGACCAAGAGCTGTAACCCAACCCGCGAGGAGTACAAAATATAAAGCGCTTTTTCCACAGGTCTGTACTCATAACCAGTTGAACAATGAAGCTGCGTTTATTCCTGCTGATCTCTGCTCTGACGATATTCTTTCAAGGACAAATTCAAGCTCAAACTCAAGGACAACTCGTGACGGGGCTACGTACACGCCTCGTCCCAGTTCTGGAAAATGGCCAGATTCGGGTAGTGAAATTTCTCGAAATGGCAAGAACTGACAGAGAGATGGTGAAGGAGCAATTCAGTAGAAGACAAATGAATCTGGCAAAACCACTAAAGAGTGGCGCTAGGGCCCAAACCGATTTGCCTAATTGGCCAAGCAGTTAATCAGTCAAATGTTTGTTGTTTAAAATGAATTTTTGTTCGAAATAAAAAGTATTTGCATTGCAAGGCATTTTAATGGAATTTTGGCTACTTATTTCGAAGATACATCTCAGATAACCAATCCCTAATACAAAGGGAAAACAAAAAGAATATAATATGAGTACGATATAACTTTTAAAAACGGAGCTGACCATTCATCTTGTAGCGAAGACTGCAAGTGGCCTAGAAAAAAGAGCAAGAGTTAGATGAACTGATCAATGATTCGACCCAGCAACTGTCTCAAATCAATGAAGATAGTGAGAAACTGAAGCAAAGGACGAACCTCCTGCAACGCTCCCACAAAGGCCTCTAGCTTGGAGGCTATTTTGTTACCAACCAGAGCAACATTTTGTTTTGACGTTTTTGTGTAAACTTTATTCTGTAATTTGTTGTAGCCAATCTTGTTGAGAATTGATTTGTCAATCTGATCCAATAGCGTGTTCAATGATGACATTCCCATCAATCTAGTAATTTTAAACAGAACATCAAAGTCGAGAAATATGGTTTCCGATCAACCACCAACAGCGTTAACCCATTGTCAACCAGGGGTCTTTTCAACATTCCGACGAAAATTATGAATCAGGTGAGAATTCACAACTAGTATTAGTTTCCACGGCTGGCCTCCATGTTATCATCTTTTCCATGTTTAAATAGAGGGGGGCTAAGTGGGTTAAGTTCGTTCACTCACACCTGGGGTATCGGTGTATCGGTTTAGCATAGCATTTCTAATTCAATTAAAATCAACAAAAAATCAACGCCATGGCTACTTTGGAGGACAAACTGTTGGGAGAGAAGCTGGAGTACTATTGCAGTAGCAGCGAGGGCGAAGACAATGACGATGGTGGAGATGAGAAAGGCGCTGGCAGTAAAGGAGCCGCCGGAGGACTGACTATTAACACGGATCCGAATGCAGCGCCTGCGGGAGGCTTTCGTCAGCAGGAATCCACCAATACAGGACCCAAGGGCGTTGTCAAGGACTGGCAGCGGTTCAAGCAACTGGAAGCTGAACGGCGCGATGAAACAGAACGTCAACGCCTGGCCCTGGCCAAAAAACTGAGCATGACTACGACCACGACCGCTGAAGATGAGGAGCGCAAGCGTCAGGAGGAATTGGACGACGAGCTGTCGGAGCTGATGAGCGAAGACTTCTTGCAACAGTACCAGAAGCAGCGAATGGCCGAAATGCTTCGTCAAACGGGACACAATCAACAGTTTGGAAAGGTGCACCAGCTGAGCAGCCACGGGGAGTTTCTGGCCTGCGTGGAGCAGGAGAGCAAGCATACGACAATCATCATACACATCTATGAGCAGAGCCTGTCGGCCTGCAGTACGCTTAACAAGTGCCTTGAAACCTTGGCCAGCGATTATCCGTCCATTAAGTTTGCTAAAATATGTAGCTCTGTGGCCGGCATGAGCAGGGACTTCCGCACAAAAGGACTCCCGGCCCTGCTGGTCTATAAAGCCCAGGCGGTAGTTGGCAACTTTGTGCGCCTAACCGATGACCTGAGCGACGACTTTTTTGCGTCCGACGTCGAAAGCTTTCTCATTGAACACGGAATCTTAGTTGATAGGGCTCTATACACCTAACAGATCTTAGCACTTCAAAGCAACCAAATATGTGTTCTTAAGGACAGCATTTACGCATTAGAGAACTTAAGCAAGCCCCTCCCGCAATTTGTATGCGCTTTAAATGTTTATTTGCCCCATTCAAAAATTAAAGGAGAAAAATATATTTAATTTTTACATTAGTCGGAATTCCATCAATTTAATTATCTTCTTTTTGCTCTATCAATATTCATATTACATACATGTTCTATAGCAACAACCTTCTGTGAGTATGCATTGTACGTACTTTCAATATCTTAATGATACAAATTCATTTTACTTATACAACCTACTATCTCGGCCTATTTATTTCCATATTTTCACTTTTATTTAAACTTTGAAATCGAGCTAAAATTAATGCTGCAAGTTGTTCAATGCTTCCCGCGCAACAAATGCAATGTATATATCGATAAGAATCTGTGGCTTTTGTCAACGTTGCTGATACTCAAGAAACAAAAAGTGGGACCAAACATTTGTTTTTTTATATGAAATTTGGCAGAAATTTATTGTTTTTGTGGTGGGGGATACCAGCCTTTAAATGTGAACAAGCGTACAAAATCAAAAAATATCGCAAAAACATATCAATATATTGATATTTTGTCTAACAAAATATCGCGATATAAATATATTTTTATTTTGAAAAAATATCGATATGTTGATATATTTTTGACAACCCTACTGCACACCGTTCTTTCCTGTCGATACGCCGTTTGAGGCGTGTAGTGTTTTTAAAGTTGGTCCACGAGAAAATCTCTAAACATCCAAAATGGTAGGTGGAAATAATGGATAAGGATTGCGGAGAATGGCGCTAGATAATGTGTATGCATGTTGCCAGGGGATATTTTTGATGTGATGGCGGAGAAAGTGCGGAGAATGGCCTTCGAAAAGTGCAGACGTGACAACCAGCTACCTGGTCCTATGGCTATGTGCATGTGTATGTGTGTGTGAGTGTCTGGTGAAATGCAAGACAAAGAAATAGCGCAAGTGGACAGCAAGGAATGACGTATGCAGTTTGCTATTGAAAAATCAAACGAAATAGGGAATGCATATGTGTGAGTGTGTGAAAGTTGTGAAATATCTTTGCAAAGAAGAATGAAATACCTCTTCTAATTATATAGCCAATGCATATAGATATGTACTTAGCTATGTGTGAGTGATGTTATTTCTGTTAATAGTCGACGCAAGTGGTTTCTGTTTTTATCTAACCTCAAAGTCCATGACATGATTGCGGATTCTGCATACATGTGTGTGTGTGCGTGTGTTTTAAGTTTTTGCTCTACTGCGGACGCCATTTTTATACCCGGTACTGGTAGAGTTATGGGGTTTATTGTATTTGTGGGAGAATAATACGACAGAAGAAAACTTTTCCGACCCCATAAAGTAGGTATATTCTTGAGCAGCATCAATGGCTGTGTCAATGTAGCCTTGTCTCTCATTGCCATGTGATATCACATTGAACCAAGTTTGTTTCAAAATTAAGCCACGCCCTCCTCTGCCCCCACAGAAGACGAAAATCTGCCACATCCACATTTTAAAGATACGAGGAAACCAAAAACACAGTTCCGTAGAAAATGGTAATATGTAACAGATGGCAGACGTGGAAACAATTTAAAATGTAAAATTCGAAAAAAAATGACTGAGTACCGGGTATAAACGATGTGACGCGTACCAGAGCATGTCACAACGTTCTTTCTTGTTAATAAATACATATGCAGTCGAAACTCCCCTCACCTCTCTGTTTCTCTCTTCCCCCTTTTCCAACACAAATGTCTGTTTTTAGGTCAACTTCACCGTCGACGAAATCCGTGGCCTCATGGACAAGAAGCGTAACATCCGCAACATGTCCGTGATTGCCCACGTTGATCATGGTAAATCCACCTTGACCGATTCGCTCGTGTCCAAGGCTGGTATCATTGCTGGTGCCAAGGCCGGTGAGACCCGTTTCACCGACACCCGCAAGGATGAGCAGGAGCGTTGCATCACCATCAAGTCGACGTAAGCGTGGACAGAGCAAAGCCAGCTGTTTTTGCAGACTAACCATTTGATATATTTGCAGTGCCATCTCCATGTACTTCGAGGTTGAGGAGAAGGATCTGGTCTTCATCACCCAGCCCGATCAGCGTGAGAAGGAGTGCAAGGGTTTCTTGATCAACCTGATCGATTCACCCGGTCACGTTGATTTCTCCTCTGAGGTCACTGCTGCTCTCCGTGTCACCGATGGTGCCTTGGTCGTCGTCGATTGCGTCTCCGGTGTGTGCGTGCAGACCGAGACTGTGCTCCGTCAGGCCATCGCCGAGCGTATTAAGCCCATTCTGTTCATGAACAAGATGGACCGTGCTCTGCTGGAGCTGCAGCTGGATGCTGAGGAGCTCTACCAGACCTTCCAGCGTATCGTTGAGAACGTGAACGTCATCATTGCCACCTACAACGACGATGGTGGCCCAATGGGTGAGGTGCGCGTGGACCCCTCAAAGGGATCCGTCGGTTTCGGTTCCGGTCTCCACGGCTGGGCCTTCACCCTCAAGCAGTTCTCCGAGATGTACTCCGAGAAGTTCAAGATCGATGTTGTCAAGCTAATGAACCGGTGAGTCATCCATTTCACCTACCTTATAAAACGCTTCTAGCACAAAACGTGTGACGCTGAGCGTGCGGCATCTTGGAAGTGGCTCCGTAAGGGGTCATCTTCTTTAGAGTCGCGCGTGCTGATTGCGCTACAAGTGCTACAAACATAGAAGTAGAGAAAATTACTTGGGAAGCTGTTTAAACGCTGACTCGGGACCGCTTTCTCAATGTCCGAACGAGGCATGCTAAGGCAGCGACCCCACATTCATTCCTCCCCCAAATCCGCATTTTGTGTGGCTGGGAGAAAAGTTTGATTTAATATTGCTAATCGAAAACAATATCTATTCGACAGTCTGTGGGGCGAGAACTTCTTCAACGCCAAGACCAAGAAATGGCAGAAGCAAAAGGAGGCCGACAACAAGCGCTCCTTCTGCATGTACATCCTGGACCCCATCTACAAGGTGTTCGATGCCATCATGAACTACAAGAAGGAGGAGATCGGCACGCTGCTCGAGAAGATCGGTGTGACCCTGAAGCACGAGGATAAGGACAAGGACGGCAAGGTTCTGCTGAAGACTGTGATGCGCACCTGGCTGCCAGCCGGTGAGGCTCTGCTTCAGATGATTGCCATCCACTTGCCCTCGCCCGTGGTGGCCCAGAAGTACCGTATGGAGATGCTGTACGAGGGTCCCCTCGACGATGAGGCCGCCGTTGCCGTGAAGAACTGCGATCCCGATGGTCCACTCATGATGTACATCTCCAAGATGGTGCCGACCTCTGATAAGGGACGTTTCTACGCCTTCGGACGTGTGTTCTCCGGCAAGGTCGCCACCGGCCAGAAGTGCCGCATCATGGGCCCCAACTACACCCCCGGCAAGAAGGAGGATCTGTACGAGAAGGCCATCCAGCGCACCATCCTGATGATGGGTCGTTATGTTGAGGCCATCGAGGATGTGCCCTCTGGCAACATCTGCGGTCTGGTCGGTGTCGATCAGTTCCTGGTCAAGACCGGTACCATCACCACCTTCAAGGATGCCCACAACATGAAGGTACACACACCCACACACACAGACGCGATGATTGAACGTCTTTGCTAATCCCTTTCGATTTTCTTCTTGCACAGGTCATGAAGTTCTCCGTGTCGCCTGTCGTGCGTGTGGCTGTTGAGCCCAAGAACCCCGCTGATCTGCCCAAACTGGTGGAGGGTCTGAAGCGTCTGGCCAAGTCCGATCCTATGGTGCAGTGCATCATTGAGGAGTCTGGCGAGCACATCATTGCCGGTGCCGGTGAGCTGCATTTGGAGATTTGCCTTAAGGATCTGGAGGAGGATCACGCTTGCATCCCCCTGAAGAAGTCCGACCCCGTTGTGTCTTACCGCGAGACTGTCAATGACGAGTCCGACCAGATGTGTCTGTCCAAGTCGCCCAACAAGCACAACCGTCTGCTGATGAAGGCCCTGCCCATGCCCGACGGTTTGCCCGAGGACATTGACAACGGTGAAGTGAGCTCCAAGGACGACTTCAAGGCTCGTGCCCGTTATCTGGCCGAGAAGTACGACTACGATATCACTGAGGCCCGTAAGATCTGGTGCTTCGGTCCCGACGGCACTGGCCCCAACTTCGTTCTGGACTGCACCAAGTCCGTGCAGTACCTCAATGAAATCAAGGATTCTGTGGTCGCTGGCTTCCAGTGGGCCTCGAAGGAGGGTATCATGGCTGACGAGAACATGCGCGGTGTCCGCTTCAACATCTATGATGTGACCCTGCACGCTGACGCCATCCATCGCGGTGGTGGCCAGATCATTCCAACCACCCGTCGTTGCCTGTATGCCGCTGCCATCACTGCCGGTCCCCGTCTGATGGAGCCCGTGTATCTTTGCGAGATTCAGTGCCCAGAGGTCGCCGTCGGCGGCATCTACGGTGTGCTGAACAGACGTCGTGGCCATGTGTTCGAGGAGAACCAGGTGGTCGGCACCCCCATGTTCGTTGTAAAGGCTTATCTGCCCGTCAACGAGTCGTTTGGCTTCACCGCCGATCTGCGCTCCAACACCGGAGGACAGGCCTTCCCCCAGTGCGTGTTCGACCATTGGCAGGTGCTGCCCGGTGACCCGTGCGAGCCAGCCAGCAAACCCTACCAGATTGTCCAGGATACCCGCAAGCGCAAGGGTCTCAAGGAGGGTCTTCCCGATCTTTCCCAGTACCTCGACAAATTGTAAGCTGTTGATGCTACCACAACCACCATCCCCCCCACAGCAACAACAACAAAAACAGCGTGCGGCAGGCTGAGAGAGAATGAGGAGAAAATGAACACAGCGATTGTCTACCCAACTTAGCAACAACTCCCTACAACATCGACGTCGCTGCGGCCGCTGGCAGCGTTTTAAATAAAGTGAAACAACCACAATTTAAAGAAATTTTGATTATTAATTGTATAACAGTAAAACACAACACCATAATAAATCACGTAAATGGTTATATCTTTAAGTTTATATAAAACAAAATACACATGGTGTGGTCGAAACGAAAATAGAATGTCCGGGGTAGGGTGAGGAGAGATCCAAGGTGGGAACGGCAGCGTAACAGCTGTAACAACGTAATATATAAAGCACACTTTGAACTCTTTAAAGTTGAATAGGTTCAACTGTATGTACATACTTCAAGGCATTTATTTGAATCAATTTATTCAAATGCTTGGATTGTTAAATAGAATCAAATTATACAAATCCGCCACATATCGATAGCTTTGCTCATACAACCGTGGGAGTGCATCGATGGCAAGCTTTCGATAGTTTTACAATGCAGCCGGTGAAATATGGAGGCAAATGTGGAAACAATTAAAATAAAAACTGAATTGGATGAAGATGGGGCGCAACAGGACACTGAAAATGCTTCAGGATCGGAAAAGTGCGTTCCAGAGTTAGAGATCAAGACTGAGCCGGATATGGACATAGGGAAAACTTGCGTGGAAGAGGCCAAGAAGCTCTATGACATCAGCCGGCTGCGAGCATTTGGCAGTGTGCCTTTTTTTATAAAGCGCCTGGAGCTCAAAGACTTTCCGCTAAGCTATCACAAGGCTATGTGCCTCGTCGAGAGGCTGCTGGCGTGGCTGCGACGCAATAAGGTGCCGAATGGAATAGGGATTGGCTTTCGCATTGCCCAAAATATGCCATCTTCGTGCCTTTTGATACTGGCGTAAGTCAAGTTGTGTGCCCTAACAATATGCATAAACTAAGCGCTTTCAATTGCAGGATCCTCAATCACAAATGCCACTTCTTTGCCACGGACAAAATGCTGATGTCAAAGGCTCTGCATGGCCAAATGTGCGCCGCTGGTGTGGATTATCTGGTGGTCTGCGGGCACATGTCCGTAGGTGTTATATACTTTGAGCGTATCGACATATTTTTGGTCTACAACGAGGAATACAAGCTGTTCAAGGTTAAACACACTCCAGACGATCCTCCAGCACAAGCGAAGAAGCCTCTGCCGGCCAACATGTGCTACACAATCACGACAACTGGGACGACAGGAACTCCCAAGCTTATTTACGTACCCTATGAATGTATTGCCCCAAATGTATTGGCACTCAGGTAGGTGCGTGGACTCCAGTCTGTGTCCAGTGATACTCATGAAATGTTAGCCAGAAGCTGAACGTCTCCATGGCCGACATAATCTACTTGGGCACACCCTCCACCTTCGATCCCTTTGTTGTGGAGCTCTTTCTGGCACTGCAAACAGGAGCCTCCTTGCTGATCAGCCACCAGACGATGAGGGAAGCGCCATCGAAGGTTCTAAATGCGCTCTTCCCCAGGAGTATGTCCGCGCCGGGCATTACCATACTGCAGATGACTCCATCGCTGTTCAGGCAATTCGGAGCGACTGCAATACGTGAACGCATCCTTACCAATTCCAGTACCTTAAGGTAAGTGTTTAATTGTCCATTCATGCATTTGTTTAATCCCTTGCATCTCCTGCAGAGTGCTTCTTCTTGGTGGTGAACAGTTTCCCTCCAGTGCAGAGCTGATCACGTGGATGGATCCGAGTGTCCTACTGCAGAAACACATTTGCAACATATACGGCATCACAGAAGTCTCGTGTTGGAGTCTAATGCACATTATACATTCCCTGCAAATGCAAATGCCACTCGGGACTCCCATCGATGATGTGACGGTGTTTCGGGTGCAATACCAGAGCGATCGGAATATGCAGCACGGAGAACTCTTCATAGGAAGCGCCATTCGACGTTGCTATATTCCAGAAATCGATGACGTAGAGGGTGTAAAAGATGACTCTGAAATTTGCTTTCGATCCACTGGTGATTTGGTTATCCGCTTGGAGGATGAATCAATATGCTACGGCGAGCGTGCCAATGATGTGGTGAAGCGTGCTGGTAATCGCATTAGTTTGGGTAAGTTAAGGAACATTCGACCAACAGCTTCAGCTAAACAAAATCCTCTTATACCAAAATCCAGGCTTAATCACTCGTAAGATTGAAAAATGTCTGCCCAGCGGAGAGCTGGCTATTTGCCTGTGGCTCGAGCAACTTCAGAAGCTCATATGCTGCATACGTACGTTGGAGATTAAGACAAAGGTACAGCAGCGTGCCCAGACTTTCGATATACTTTCCAAGTTATTGAATGCGGAGCAACCAGACAGATTTATCTATCTACAGCACTTCCCCTGCAATGTTCATGGCAAACTGGACAAGGAACTGCTGCTCAAGGAGTGCATGCCGCTGGCTCAGCCTGCACAGGAAATATTAAAGAGTTTCCTGCAAGACAGACTGGAATGTGTGGACGTATCGAGTGAGAAAGCGACCAAGAAGGCACGGCTGGAGTGCAGCCAACCATGTGGCTATGAGCTGAGCTTTCGCCAGGCGGGTGGCACCTCATTTCATGCCATCACAATTTGTCGGGAGATTGGCCTGCAAATGTGCATCGATGATGAGCAGCGACACGTGTTCGAGATGCTCCTCGACGAGAATGTTCCTCTGCGCACAGTTCTACGTTTCCTCGACACGGCAAAGCTTGTGGCAAATAATACCAAACTGAAGCCGATAGAGCCGCAGGCAAACAAGACGGCAACCGGGGCAAGTGGAAGCAGCGGCACCTGTGGTCTGACCATTACCCGCTTCGAGCAGCCGGAGATCAGGTTCCAGATTTATTGGAAGGTCAACTTCGGGAAGTGCATCGATTCGCCCGTTACGCAGTACGAGGGACGCTACGTCTGCGTGGGCTCACATTCCCATATACTGCGCACTTTGGATCCTCAAACAGGCATAGAGCAGAGCAGCCTGCAACTGCCGGACCGGATTGAGTGCAAAGTGACATTCCTCAGTGAGCAGCTGGCCATGGTGGGCTGCTATGATGGTTGTCTCTACGGCTTCAATCCGCTCACTGGAGATATTGTGTGGCGCGTGGAGATTGGCGGAATGATCAAGGCGCAGCCTTTTCTGACAGCCGACGGTTCGCGAATTGTGGTATGCAGCTATGCCGAGGATTACAATGTGTTTTGCCTGTCCGCCGAGCGGCAGGAAGTGCTCTGGTGCTTGAGGATTGGCGAAAAGCCAATATTCGCGAGTCCCCTGGAGTTGCCCAATGAACAGTCGCTGATCATCTGCAATCTGAATGGTGACTATGCGCGAGTCGCACTCACGGATGGATCCTTGGAATGGTTGAACAAGTGCAGGGGCCCATTATTCGCCACACCTGTCCTGTTGGACTCGAAGCCAAACCATTTCCTGTGTGCCGAAGTGGCTGGACGCATCCTTGCCTGCCATGTAGGCAATGGAATGATTGTAAGTTGGGAATCGATTTAATATCCATCACTCTATATCCGTACTCATTGCGTTCCCTACACACACAGATGGCTACATACACTGCAGAGGGAAACGTCTTCTCGTCGTTGGTTGTCAAGAAGCCACCCACACAGATGGGCTATTCGTTTGTGATCTTTGGCTGCATGAATCATCATGTGTATTGCCTGCGATGCAACACAGGATCTGGGCGAAAACCGGTTACCTTCGAACTCAATTGGAAGGTCGATACGGGAGCTCCTGTATATGCAACGCCCACACTACTCATCATCCAGCTTCTCGGTTATCTGGTTTGGAGCTGTTCCACCGACGGTCGTGTAATTTTAATGAATTTTCACAATGGCCAGATTCGATGGTCCACCAAGCTGCCTGGGCAAATATTTTCCACTTCCTGCTGTATAGAGAGCCTCCGGCGAGTCTACGTGGGATGTCGAGATAATTTTCTATACAGCCTGGGCATCTAGTCTGTTCAGTTGAATTTATAACGAACATTAAAAATAGCCCTTTCAAGATATATATTATATAAAGATTACGGCTATTTAAAGTACACCAAATCTGATAAGTTACGCCAACTTAAAACCTTTGAATATCACGCGTACTTTCATAGCGGACAGCTTTTGATACTGTGAAAAAGTAAACAGCAGCTACGTTCTGTCACCAACCATACAATATATACTTTAGATTTAAGATTAGATTAGATGAGATTAGATTATACGCCAGACAGCTGCTGTAAGACACAAGAATGAATCCGACTATTCACTGTTATTTAAGCGCTCCAAACGGTTTTGTATTGACTTTCACCCGGATACGTACTTTGCTGTACTCCGTCGGTTCTGTTCTCGACTTTGTATAAAGTAAATAAACAAATGGGATAAATTGTTAGTGAATTTATTGCCAAAAAAGTGCCCAAACTCGACATATGGATGTTTTTTTTTAGTACCAAGAATTTCGATTATATTTTTATGTCAAAATTGAGAAACATTCGGGCCAAAGTAGTGAAAGATGCTGAGTTGGGAGCATCTTCCCTTTATCCACAAAGCCCGAGCAGTGTTCTCCGCTCGCCGATTTCAACGTTCTTGTTTCTTTGATGGAGCTCCGACGAGTGGTGCCACTGGGTTCCTTGCGGATTCAACTTGCTTTCAATTTAGTTACCACCAAAAATGCGCTCAACAAATACTTCGTCAACATGTCCATTGGAATCACAAACTCTTTTTTTTGTTTGATCAAAGCTTGGAATGGTTTAGGACCTGGGACGGGTTTTTTTTTACCGAAGGGTGTGTGGCTCGTGCTCACTCCCAGGCACTCCCAGACGAGGGCTAGTGCTGGTCCGATCCTAGAAGCCACCTGTGGGAAGTGGAGAATAAGCACAGATGAATGCGACAGCTACAACAGCTACTTACGCGCGAAGGGACTTAACGGAGGGGCTTGGATCAAGTGCGAACCGAATGGAGGATGCTGGTCACACCTAGCAGCAGCATTTCGGCGGCGTGTTGTAGCAGTGAGCCTTACAGGGCGCACACCACACACAAGGCATGTTGTCCTTTCTTACGAGATAGCGGGCACAGCAGGGAGCTTTTGGATACATCGGATGTTACACCGCTGACCTGTCAGGATTCAAGGCTGTGGTGCTGTGGCACGCTCAGTATCCAGACATCGCGCCACTACGCTGCCCCATATGATGTACAGACACACGGACGGACGGACGGACGGACGGACGGGACAACACGAAACGCAACGCGAAGGGGTTGAACACGAAGCACGGGAGGAAGTGGAGCAGGGCCAAGACGGACGAGAACTTACATGGATAGGTTGGGGGTGTGTTACAATAGTTCCAGACCCGCGGATCGGGTATGCCACCCTCGGGCAATGGTGGACAGCAGCAGCCCGGCGCCGGAGAGCATGGAATGGGCGAGGGAGCTCCGCATGGTGGACTGTGCGGGCCACAGCACGCAGTTGAATTACATGGACCACAGCATGGACCGCCTCCACATGGATTACATGGACCTCCACAGCATCCGCCGGCAGCGCGACCACCGCAAGCACCGCCTCCACCGCCACCGGCAGCTCCAGTTGCTTGACAACGCATCCGCTTATTGTTCACTCCCATGGTCATGTTTGCGTAGCGCAGGGGGAAGGCCGATGGTCCGCAGCCCGGGTACGGGAAGCACAGGCACGCCGGCCGTCCCTGGCATGCCGACCGCGGACACTTATCCTGGAGCCCATTGCGCTTCACACAATCGCAGGTTGTGTACATGATGCCACAACGCAGTTCACGGCTGCGGCAGCCACGGGGCTGCAATGAAAAAGGATGCCAATGAGTACCAGGCGCGAGGATGCAGGATGCAGCTGCAATTGTCTTGATCGTCGGAGTTTGGGTTGGGTTTGGGTTTCGGTCTGGGCTATGGATAGGGAATCCACTAATAATAGTACTAGCAGCGCCCGCCAGGTGGCAGTCCACATGGGCCGCATGGCCCACAGGGTGCACACGGTCCACAGGGTGCACACGGGCATGGTGGCTGCGGTACATAGTTAAGGGGTCCATTGGGATAGCAGCAGAACTCTTGCGGCGGCGGTACATCTATCATCTGCGGCTTAGGCTGGCAGAGTATCGACTGGCAAACTTCGCGCGGCTCGCAGATCCGCTTCGGATAGCACACCACATACGGATCAGGTACCATCGATGGATAGTAGATGACACGCGGCTCACGCACCATCTGCGACACCCACACGAGCTTCGGCACCTGGATGACCCGAGTAACATCCACCACCTTGGGTATGGTTATCTGGCGACATCGATTCACCACCATTGGTTCGGGCACAATCTTCTCGGTGAACACAACATGCTTCTTGCAGATCATCCGCGGTGGTTGCTGGACCGTGATGCAGCCCGGGCATGGCGCCGGTATGCGTGGCGGACACTGGGGCATCGCCTCCAGTTGAGCGGCATTGTAGCATTTGGGCGAGCACTGATGGATGCAGTTGCGTATGGGATACCGAATGGGGGTACGCGACACAGTATACGGGGTACGGATCGAAGACAATTGCAGCTGAGCTCACTTACCGCGAATGGTCCGCACGGTTCGCACATGATTATCTTTAGAGCGCTGCATAATTACAAACAAAAACGAAAAAAGAAAAAAAGTTATTAGTAAAACCGTTTAAAATTTTAAAATCACAATTTTTTTAAGCTTACAATTTTTGGTTGGTTTTTTCCGAAAAAAATTTAATTTAGAATTTTGTTAAAAAAAATTTTGAAGCCGGCCGAAACGTTTGGTTCGAGAGTCAGAAATCGAATGAGAAATATTGGGAGCTCCACAGCTACACCATTTTTGTATTTTTGCTTTTGTTCCGGCATGGATTACTAGATTTGGGACAAAATGTGAACCAGAATTAAAATTCTTTACTCTGCTTCAGCCCAATAGACTTGTGCTCTCGTTTTGAGCAATTAACTCCATTAGATTGTGGTTCATATTTGGGCTTCTCTCGTTCTCCATTTGTTGTTGGTCGCATCTCTACTTGATCCTTGATTGTTGATTGTCCTCCTCCTCCGCCAATCAGACCAAAAGTAGCCTCTTTATTGCATCAAATTCTTATTCTATATTTTCTTTACTTTTTTCAGGGCGTGGGCTCATAGTTAATCAATCGCAATCGGTAAGAAAGGGAACCAAAGCAAAGCAAAGCTCTCTCCCTCTCTCTCTTATCATCATCACTTGAGTCTTTTGTGCTCTCTGATGCCTGATAAGCAGAAAGCTTTTTAGTTTGCTTTGAACATTCGATCAGAACGAACGCCGCGGAATGCCAAACGTCGCTGTAATCGGTGCTGGTGTCAATGGTGTGGCCAGTGCCATAAAGATCTTGGAGCACTACCAGAGGGAAGGTAATCCAGGTTTTCCTGAAACCCGGGTAACAATTATCTCGGAGCAGTACTCGCCAAACACCACAGGAGATGGCTCGGCGGGCCTCTGGGGTCCCTATCTGCTGGGCGGCACAGAACAATCGAAAGTCTTGTAGGATATCTCCATGATATACTCCAAATATAACACAACTAAAACTTTATTTTTGTTATTTTTACGTTGAACAGAAAATGGTCGAAGAGTATGCATACATTTCTTGAGCAGATCTGGCTAAGCGAGGATGCCGGCGAGGCAGGTGTGTGTCTTCTGCCCTGCATCCGTCTGAGCACTTCCACAGTGAATACCGTGGAGGATTTCTGGCGTGACATTGTCTACGGAGCTGTGGATCTCACAGCAGAACAGCTGGCAGTCTACAATCAAGGAAGATCGGTGAAGTTTACGTACGGATTTGGATAAATATAATGATAATTGCTGATGTCTTTCGTTTCCGCTTTAGTTCTGGTTTATCCTTTGTCACATACACCTCAGAGCCCATCAAACTGCTGCCGTATCTCATGAAGCGTTTCGCTCGTAATGGAGGTGTTGTTGTGCAGCAAAAGGTCACAGATCTGGAGAGATTTATCACTAAATCCCCCTACGATGTGATTGTCAATTGTTCGGGTCTCGGCTCCCGCGAACTGCTGAACGATGATCAGATGTATGCGGTGCGTGGTCAAGTCTCTCGAGTAAAGGCCAATTGGATGTTCACGGCCATACTGGATGAGAGCGATGATGGCTACTACATAATACCCAAGTATTATCATTCACTTATATTTATCTTTTAGCTAACAGCTTTCTTTTAAAACACTTTTAAGCACCGAGAGTGTTGTGCTGGGCGGCACCCACCAGGAGCGTGACTACAACATAAATGTCTGCGAGGAGGACAAGCGGCTCATTGTGGATGGCTGTCAGCGGTTTGTGCCGGGCCTGTGCCACACCAAGACTCTGTTCGATTGGGTTGGCCTGCGGCCAGGACGTGGCAAACTCCGCCTGGAGGCCGAGCGTCGTGGCCAGAAGCTGCTCATCCACAATTATGGACACGGCGGCAGTGGGGTAACCCTGTGCTGGGGCTGTGCCGATGATGTACTCGATCTCCTGCTGGCTGCCAAGAACATTTCAAAGCTTTGAGTTGTTGATAAATATATACTCCTCTCAGAAAGGTGTAAACAATCAGCGAATATGCATCGTTTTGACGATAAGCTTATCGCTGTCTGCCTGGTAACATCAAACACTCGAAACACTCGAAAGACTCTGACAGGAAACACAGCCCAAGAATATGCTGCACATTTATTAGAAGAGAACACAGAAACCCCTTAGAAAACCCCTCAGAAATCCCCATCTTCATGCTTCTTTTCAGCGGCCTCCTTGGCTATTTTGGCAGCCAGAGCCTCGTGGAACTCCTCGAACCCGGGCATGTCCATGTAGTGAACCAACTGACTGACGGGCAGCTCAAAGATCAGAGCGTACATCTCGTCCAGTTCGCGCAGGATATCAAAGGGTCGCTGGCTGCCCACCTTGTAGATGGAGTAAATGGTGCGTCCAATCTCATCGTACTCGACAAAATTGGCCGCCGCCTGATCGATGGTGCTCAGAGCTATGAAGCACACGCGGGGCATGTGCATGTGTTGGGCCACTGCCCCAAAGGTGTCGAACATGGCCATGAGGAAGTCCCTGTTGAAAGAGAGTTCTTCGGGGAAGCCGATCTCATGCACAAACAATGCATCGAAGATGGGCACACCGAGATTCTGCTTGGTGGCTTCCACCAGCTCCATCTTCATCATGATTAGCTGCTTGAACAGGCACTTCGGTATGGACGAGGGCAGGAAAACCCTGCAGATGATCAGTTTCAGTTGGAGATTGTGAATTGTGTCTTCTCCCTCACTCACCAGGAATGCCACTTCTCTGTCATCCATTCTAGCAGCCCCACAGCCTTGACCTCCGTCTCATCCTCACTGAGCATCATCACCGAGCACTCGTTCTGCAGTATATGCCGCACATAATTCGAGTAAATCTGCTTCATATCCTCCACCTCGAACAGGCCCAGACCCTCGTAGACCAAGTTCTTCAGAAAGGAGTTCTCCCACATAAACTCAATCACCAGATCATAGTGCCTGGATGAAAGAATGTTTTAACTCGACTTAACTGTCAGTTTTATGTACTGGGGAGCAACTTGCTTAAAGTTAATGTCAGTTATGGGCATTCCCCCATACTCATCCCATTTGATTTCGTACTTCAATGTGCGTATATCGTCCATGGCAGTGTCCCCCTTGCAATTTTTACTAAAGATTTGGTGGATTTTTTAACCAAAATATATATACAATTTAACAGATACACTTTTATATTTTGATTTGAGAAAGTTAACAAAATGGAGTATGCCAAAGCAAAGCATACTTCTGGGATCTTTCATCGTTTCATCTGTTAATTCTTCTTTTATGAAGCTTTTGCTATTAAAAACAATTAAATCTTGAGCAAAAGGCTAACAGAAGACACTTCTGCAGTGCTGACAATATGCATTTTTGAAGCCTCTGTTTGCATTATTCATTTTCATGGCCATGTCCAACTCACACGAATAACAATAAATGTTTATTTGTACAACAAAATGCAAATGTTCCGCGTAGAGGAAACCTTTTTTGAAATAATGTCATAATTAAATGGATATACAGGCGATAACAATCAAGTGAAATAGGTGTAAATTTAATTTGTCTAATGTCTCAATTTGAATAAATTTCCACAGCACAACAAACAACAAATGCAGCCAAAAGGAATGTGAATATTTCCCTTCTGGATGTGGGTGTGCGAGGAGGGAACTGAAACCAAATCCACCCTCAATGGGATAAAAATTCGGAAGTGAAAACACGTCCATGCCATACTACACCTTGGATTCCTTTCTGTTCGGTTGGGGGATTTTTTGTTTAAATTCAAAGCCCATTGAGTGTCATTTACTAAGAAGGCAACAACCAATTGGCGTCTGGCATTTGGCATTTGGGGATAACTGAATTTAGCTACGGATGCCAATGCTTTGGCATATATGTATGTAAGTGAGGGATGTATCAGGGGAAGGGAACGCATTTTTAAATGTTTCACATCCTTGTCCGTGAGACAATTGGATATTTAAATACAAGCGACACTTTTAATGCTCCCCGCAACAGCATCAGCCGACACTTGAGCTTGGTCCTCCATTTGTGGCAGGATACTCGTCTCTATTCCGTGCACGTAGTCGCCACCGTCTCATGTCGTTGGGAGATTAAATTCAATATTGAAAAGAAATAACTTAATTTTCAGACATCATTCTAATGCTTTGGGGGTTGCATGGGATTGAATTTAGAGTGGAATCTTTTTTTCTTTTTGCTTGAAATGCAGGGGGGAGAATTCAGGACAGCGTCCCCCACCCCACACACATTATTTTAGAACAGATTAAATATAAAGAGTGCCGAGCTGCATGCCCCTAAATACGAGTATAATGCTGTTAAGTCCGCAGTGGACTTTATGATGCTGCATAAACTGTTTCGTTGCGGTATAAAAACGTCTCATTTGGGACTCATTTAATCCGCCAAAAATTGTTTACACACACACGTGGCACTCAGTGGATATTTCTTCATGTAACACCAAACACCCAACCACAAACCCAACCCCAAATACCAACAACAACACAATCGCGAATTTGAATTCATTCGAAAATCGTTTAGCATTCGTTTCGGTTTCGCAGGTTTTTCTCGGCTGTTTTCCCAGCCAAAACACCTGCGCATTCCCTGAGCATGGTTGGGTCTCCATTTGGCAGTTGGAGCAGCAGTTGGCCCCTTCCTGGCTCCATTGTTAGCCGTGACTTGCATTCGCCAACGACATTCATTCATTCATTTATTCGCGGCTGTCCTTGTAGCGCTTTCATTTAAAATCGAAAATTCGTATATACAAAACCAAATGAAATGCAACCGAAAAAGGCTGTTGTTGAGATGCCGAAGTTTAGATGCTCTTGAAATTATATTTGATCGAAGATTTTAGATTGTAGGCATGACTTTCCCCTTGACAAACACCCAAACACACTGATCTAAACATTTCCCCTACTGCAAATGATCAAGAAACGGAATAGAAAATCACAATTAATTGCGAAAAAATACATTATTCTGTACAAACCTTAATCTGTTTTTAATTCCCTAATCAAACGTATATCTCCCTATAGATTGAGGTAATTTCTGATTCATTTATATTGAAACAAGATTCACCTTTGACATCTTTTTCTGACTGATAAAAACTTACTTAATATAAGTATGAACCTTCCTGCAGTTCTCGGAGAAAGCGAGCCAAAGATTTGGTGTGTAGTATCTAATGTTATTAGGGAACGTGTCGAGATAGTTCCTGACATTTCCATGCCTCTGCCATTCACTCTGTAACCCTTTCTTGGGTGCAGAGTATAAGAGTATCCACAACAAACGTTTCTTGATTGTCTGAATGGCTGAAAAAGCCGTTTGACAATGGGAATGGGAATGGAAACGGTGGCCATTTGTTGAACTGGGAGCTAGATTGTATTCTGACTGTTTTGAAATGGGTTGAGTGGCGGCGGCAGGGGATGGGATGGGATGCACTTGTTAGCCGCAAGGTGTATGCATCCTCATCATCATCATCTGCATGGCGTTTCGTGGTTGGTTGTCGCGTGGCAAACAAATAAACAAACAAACAGACAGGCAGGGTAGAAGGCTGCTTCAACAAAAGCAAAGGTCCAAAGTAATTCAAAACAGCAGGAAATGAAAAGGAGGCGGATAATCCCAAAGGCAAGGGAAAGAGAAGGGAAGGCTTTTGGATTGTTTGATTATTTAGCGGCTAAATGGCGAATAATCTACATTTAATGGAGGAGAGCATGGTAAGTATTTCTTATGAAAGGATACAACACAGAGCAGCTGTTAAAATACGAAATACATCTAGTTAAATGAAAGATTAACTGCCGCAGTTATGGGTTGCTTGGCTTCGAAAACTTTTCGTGTATAAAAAATGGAGAATGGAGAATGAAGAATCTTCCGCCCCATTAGAGAGTCATCTTTTGGCCATAATTGTGCTTGTAAAAACAAATTAAACTTCAATTTTGGGCACTGTCTGTTAGCTCCACGGAATGACTTCTCCGGGGATCTGCAGCCCCATCCGCATCTGCATCCCATCCTGAAAGACGTTAAGCAACTTCCGTTTCCGTTTTAACTCACTTAGCGGGCTGCGAGACTTATGCAAAAGTTTTCAATTGCCTTTTATTATTGTTGCTTCTTGTTGCTCAAGTGAAATGCAAATTTATTCAAAATGGAGCAGGCAAATGGAGCCAAAAGTTGCCTCCTTTGCCGTGCCAGTCTGAAAATATCTGAGAGTCTGGCAGGGCCACGACTGCGATAATTAAATATAATTCTTTTTTAGCCCATTTATATTTGCATTTTGTTGGAATAATTTTTGTTTTATTGAAGTCCCTTTCCAGCTGTTTTACCTGTACAAATTAATTCAATTAAAATCTTGAGACAAAGAGTCTTGAAAAGCGACTCCAAAGGCGGCTCCAGCTTAAAGGACAACTATCAAGCGGCACAAGAGGCAAAGAAAAATCCCCATTAGCAGCACGCGATTTTCCAATAAAATTCTAATGGCCAAATCAAATTCCCAGCTGAGTAAAAAAAACTAGAAACTAAAAAAAAAAGTGAAGGCGAAAATCAGTAACAACTATGGATGGTTATCTCAGCGGGTCATCTCCACGAAGGGACAATTATTGGTGGACATGCTAATTTGTGCGTGGAGCTTAAAGCAGAATACCTCAATATTTGTTGACGGAACGTGATTTAGCGCATTTGCCAGCGTAGACGTAGACAAAACCGTGGCTGAACATGCGACCGCGCCCAAGAGGCACACCCACAAGTAGCAGCAGGAGCTCCCGCGGTGCGTTTTTGGAGTATGGAAAATATGCAAAATGTTATGTCCAGGCTGCACAAACAGGCGCTGGAACCACAAGTAGCACAGGAATCACGAAGCGTAACCGTTGAACACGCAAGACCAAAAAAGGGTTTAATTAAATTAATGCCACAAGCCGATGAAGAGCCATTGTCAGAGTTTTGTCTAACTAGAGTTACGAGACTTATTGAAACGCCATCAGCGGCACAAAGTATGTGCAGCGAATGCAGAAGAAACTTCAACCAGCGGTCTATCTGAGCCACAATCCACAATCCATATCTACTCGCAATAGGTAGACTCCGCCTTCAAAGACGTGGCAAAGGCCACACCCACTTAAGAGCCACTCTCGAGCAGCGTCTTTGATGTGAACTTTGATAAAAATAAACTTTACTTCTCGACTAAATGGAATGGCCCACGGCTATGCTTTTGTAATTTTCTTTGCCACACAAAATTTAACTTAAACCTGTGGCAGAAGATGGCGGAAATTTCCCCAAGAGAGGGAGAGAGCAAAAAAAGGAGGAAAAGTAAATGATTTTCACAACATGACGTCAATTAAAAGCACTTAGCTGCTAATTAGAAACTCATTTTCGATTAATCAAGCCGTTCGGAGAGTGAGAGAGTGAGTAAAGGAGAGGGTGGCTGTCAGTATTAGAATATAATCATCTGCTTGAGGACATCGCGTGCCAGGAGCGACCGCGATGTCAACGCCAATTGATTGCCATCGCTGGCGCTGGCTCTTTTCCCATTAATAATTCATCTGCAGGATAAGGATATCGCTGTTTGCAGTTGATTTCAATTGAAGGCGAAATGTTGAGCATCGTGTTTCGTGATGCTGCTTCCTGCCACTAAATTATCCTAAAAAATGCATCGTCTTCGGCTTTCGATGGGGAATTGCTTGGGGACAGGCACCGCCCACAGTATCATCATCAACAGCCTATCCACCTGCCCATTAACTACGCTTAAATTGATGGCATGGGGCACGGGTATCCGCCGCACACAGGAGCACACCTATAAACATTAAGTTGTCAATAAAGGTAATTCATTATGTCGCACACTCGAATACCCCAGGGAACAGCTTGTATCATTGTATCCTGGTATCTTTTTAGCCTGTTTCCCAGCCTGACATTCACACTCAACTGCGGTCGGTCTCGTAGAATAATAAAATATTCCACTGGATCTGGATGGGTAATAAAAACGCTTATTGCTGAATGGGGCTCAGGGCTCTCCACAGGCAAATGCGATGAGGTCGAGACATTTCGAAGGACTTTGAATTGAGTATTAAGCGGGATGGTAGGGGGAGATGCACAGCTCCTTTGAGGATGAACAAAACGAATGTAGCTAACATTTGTTTGATCAAAATACAAGTTGGGAAATTAAACACTGGGAAATGCTTATAACAATATTCATAGACTGCAAGCAAA